TAGTGCTGCATAGCTGTAACGAGCATGCCATCTCAATATATGTAGCACCAAAAAGAATTGGCGAGCTGCTTCCTGTGCCCTGGGCAGGAATTCCGATTCATGTCGGCCGCAAATTTCAAATGAAAAATGTTGAGCGGCCGCTTTCTGTTCTGGATCCTTTGCTAGGCTGAACAGAGATTCCAGGGATTTTTCAAAGGTTTCTGCATGACGTGGAGGAATCTCGGCATAGTGTGCAAACAAACAAAGGAAGTGGAGGTAGTTTATTACCGCGTTCGAGGCTTCCTTTCTAGTGGAGAAGAAATCCGAAGGATGTAGAGCGTCAGCTTCCTCTAGTTTGTTATTGTTTGCCATCTTTGCTTTCTTATTGTTCCTACTTCTTCTCTCCCCTTCGTTCTTTTGTTTAGGCTGGGCTTGGCTCACGAGGGTTACTTTGTTTTTGCGAGCCTTCCAGATTCTTAATGCGCTTGCTGCCTCTCACTGCCTGACCCTTGGTCCAGCCCATCTATCAAGCAAGTGTGGCCGGGAGGGTGGGGGGAGTCTCCTTCGCCCCTCTCGTTGTTGGCATGGCCCTTTTGTATGGGTGACTGATAGCTGTGAGGGACTGTGCACGGACTGATGGAAAAACAAACCTCTCTGCGACGAGGGCAACCTGCCAGAAACAGTTCAAGCGTTCACCAGGACCTCTCCTGAAATGTTCCAGAAGATTCGCTCCTTGCCTGATGGCCCACCACTTGTGTTGCTGGCAAATCTGTGCTCACCATTTGCCATTAGCTTCACGACTCTAATCGTAACCACTAGACTAATTGTAACCGCGAGATCCTGTGATACACGTGTCAAAAGAAAAAAAAAAAAGATGGCTAGCTACTAGCGAGACCATGGGCGTCGTAATGACCACTTCAGGCATCATCAATTTATTTATTCACTGCTCCCTCTGGGCACTAGACCTGCATGACGTCTCCTCCTCCTCCTCCTCCTCCTACTACTACTACTGCTACTACTGCTACTACTACTACTACTACTACTACTACTACTACTACTACTACTACTACTACTACTACTACTACTACTACTGCTGCTACTGCTAATGCTATGCTACAATGATGGCAACGACAACAGTAGAGGGTTGGCTTCACTGTAAAAAAAAAATATTTTGAGATTTCGTGTGCTGAAACCATATCGCAAGGCAAGCCACTGTAGGGTACAATTATTTATTAATTTTAAACTCTGGGAATTCTCGGAAGTGCACCAATACTGAAGCAGATGGGCGCTTTCGTACTTCCCGAAAAAGAAAATGTGCAGCCTTCTGCTTGGCGGCACAGCACCATTGCCACAGAGTTAGAAGTTACCATGATCGATGAATACTACATGCATTAAGAAAATGTGTATTACTTAAAATATGCTACTAGAAGCCGTTCAACGAGAAATGACGCTGGAGCGAACATTTTCACACAAAGGCTCGTCTTCATCAGTGCAGCAGCTGCTTCCCTTAGCAGAATGGTGTATAGACTATTTTTACGGATGCGTGCCGCCATTTTCGTCTACTGTCTTTGCCGTTTTGTATCGGTAACTAGTGAATTAATGGTACTAGACAGCCTTGCGCACAAAAACGACTGTACAAGTTCTTTCAGCATTTCGTGACTTAGTCAGTATGACGTCGCAACGTACATAGCTGACGTATTCCGGGCACACTCTCCCCCTCTTTCATTGGGGGGGAGAAGAGAGAATCAGCTTGTGCATGAAGAAGGGGAAAGAGAGCAGTGGGAAGGTTTAGTGTTGTGGTTAAAGGGAATGCAGATGCATACTTGGACAGTGTCTGTTACCTAGAAACTGATAAGATGGATCGAGGGCAATTAAGTGAGACACAGCCGGAAAGATCAGGCAGTAGGCTATGTAGGTTCTGTACATAGTGTTAATGTACGTGACAGCCGATGTTTAGCCGGCGGTAGTGGCAAGTACTCAGTGACAACAGCATGAGTGCTGCTGCACGTGAATGTACCGCCTGTTCCAGCTCCCCCCAAAGCACTGCCAGGTACAAGTCTTTACACTTACGTTCTATTGACTATTTTTATGGATGCATGCTGCCTTCTTGGGCTGTTTACTTTACCATTGTGTACCTGTAGCAAATGAAATAGTGGTGGTATAGTAGACTCATTTGTGAGAATGATCAAATGAATGCATTTGTTTATTTCATAGCCTCGTTAATTGGACATGACAGCTATCGCTGATAAATCGGGTGTATAAAAACCAAAGGTACAGACACCCACAAGTCGAAAATAATATCTGCCTATGCACTGGCACTTTGTATGAAACATACACTTTGAACGATAACCTTGTTCCAAGTTTGCTGAGCTTCTTGAAGTCAGGTTTTGTCTGTTGCAGTGCTTTTATTGGCACATGATTTTAATTTATACATTTGTAGACAGATGCTGCTGCTGCAATTTACGAAAAGTGCTTTCATATTTTGTCATTACTTCATGTGTTTCCGTTTGATTTGTGCAAATGCTTTATGCATATAAGGAGCTTGCAAAACAAGTGCTAATCGATTCTGTGGCTGTCGTGGAAAATGGATTACTGCTTGCCTAGCAAACTAATAATGATAGCCATTACTTATTCATAATCAATAACACATGACTTCCTTGATGTGTCTCACTTCATATAATATTGAATTACACAAGTAAGTACTGATGGGCTTAGACCTTGCTGTATACTCACACAGGTCTCATGTGAGTTCTTGAAATCCTTGAAAACCCTTGAATTTGAAAAGGTCATTTTCAAGGCCTTGAATATGCCAAAATTTTCGCAAATCCCCAAAAAAACCTTTAATTTTCTTTTTTTTTAAAGTAAACATTGTCACACATTTTACAGTGTATTATTGATGATGCCGTAAATGTAGCAGCTGGCACATGTAATGTGCCCATGACAAATTATTGAGAACATCAGTAGCTTCTGCACGGAACCAACACCGTGCATTTCTGGAAACTCTGAAAAGGCTATAGCAGGAGAATGAAAAACAGGAAAAGAAATTTTGATTTGAGGAGAAGGGTGAAATCCTTTAAAAAAAAAAAAAGAAAAGAAACTAAAAGCCGCTGTTGAGGAATTAACTGCTACAGCAGACTGATATGCAGAAAAGGCCGAGACAATCGGCGACTTGACATGCGTCATCAAGTCAGGCAGCCTTATAGCACTGCCAAGACGAAGAAGCAGGAGATAGTGAATATTGGTATGAACATTCAGAAAAAACAACAAGGCATTGCATAATAATTCCTTAGTTTTTTCCATCTTCTTGGCGTCTGCTCCAGTGTTACACTTTTTTTACGAATTATAGTTATTTCAAGCCTTTATCCTCCCCTGAACATGTGTTAATTGAGTGTCTAACAGACAATGTAATTGTGAATTAGTATTCATAGCTTTGAAAGTCTTTGAAAACCCTTGAATTTTCATTATGTAAACGAGCCTGAACCCTGTCACAGTAATTGTAGAGTGATCAAAATATGCATCCAGCAATTGCATAGGTACAGGCTTCTCTCATGGGCATGAAGCACTTGCTCCCAGTCAGTTTGCTTTTGCATGTTTTGTTCCTCGTTTACTGCTACTTTCATTCCATCAGTTTCCCCGATCGGTACTGTTGTTTGCCATCATCCATACAACGTAGTTTTTTTCTGTTCATGTAACACGTGTCACTTTTAACTTTTATTAAAAGGCTCCTTTACTTAAGGAGTCATTCCGTCTTTCAACCATCAGCTGACACTCCGCCAGTTGTGTGTTGCATTGTCATCTGTGATGTTTTGTATTGTTAATGCGCAATGTTGTACCTGCACAAGGGTTTATATGTTGTGCAAGCAGCTTCAAGAAATTTCGCTGCCGTACCGACAGCAGGTTTCCACCGTTGGCAGTTTTGTATTGAGTTTAGCATAATTGGTGACATGAAGTATGAAGTACAGGTGGGAGACAACGGAAATAAATACGGAGTGTTGAGAGGTTGTCTGAACAAGAATAATTGCCTCGAAAAGGCTTGTTGATGTTTTAGTTTGTGGATAAAAAGGGCATTTAGTCATGTTCCTTTTCAGATAAGCTCTATGACTCAAAGCATGGGCTTTTAATGTTTACTATGACTCCTCGAACTGCATCAGGAAAATTACGTAGGTTTTCTCAACCGCAATATCTAAACTTATTCTGCAAGTACAAGCAGCGGTCCTAACTCTGGGGCTTTGTAATTTGTATCAGAGCTGCTTTCAAATTCTAACAAAGGCAAGTGTTCATGCCCCCTATGAATATGAACCTGGGGTGGTATTTGTGTTTTCACTTAGTAGACTGTTCATTTCATCACACGTTAATTGGCTATATCTTGGAACCGAGTAACCCCGCACCTGTAGTGAACCTTGGCTTTGATCTCTATCCAATCATTGAACACTTAGAGATGGACAGTCAGTCTTGTAGACACTTGCAAAATACCACCCCTAGCTAGTGTCTTAGCTAAGTTCACTGACCTGTAGGGCACAGTGATCCATTGTTTGCGCCTGTTTGTCAAAATGGATAATCCTTGTTGCACATCCGGAGAAAGCAACTAAACCTTTCTCCACTTTCTTTATTTTGCGGCCACTGTTTATGCAAAACGACGTGTTTCCATTCTGTATTGCCATTTACATCTTGAATGAGTGAGTCATCCCTCACACCCACAGCGACACAGTAGTGGTTTGTTTACCTTGTTTATCAGTGAGCAAACTTGCTCTTTTCACTCTTTACTCTGCGCTTATCATTGGGCAACCTGATCATCTGTTGTAGACTTAAGGAGGTGGTGTGGTTGGGTGTCGTGACCCCGAGATAACAAGAGTTCAAGGGGATGATGGTGTTGGAAGGGGGGGAAGGAGGTTAGTCACCTGACTGATATGACTTTTCAGACAGCCCAAGCTGTCTGTCGGGTGTCTGCATGTGCACGTGAAAGAGGATCCTTATCTCGCCCGCCATCTACAATCTTTCTTTTTTTCATCTCTTTGCAGAAGGAGCTCAATGTCTCCAGACGAGGAAGGTGAGTGATCGACAGCTCTGGGGCGTTTATCTTTGGGCCTTTTTTTTCATATATTTTTTTGGACCTTTCCACGAGAATTGGCAGCGCTCTTTCTGCTGCGGGAGAAGGGCTGCCCACGTGCTGTGGCGCGTGTCTGCTTACCGACTGGCCGGCCTGTTTGCAAGCCAGTTCGTCTAGCTGTCCAAGCAAAGTAGGCCGCCTCGATAAGGGTTGTCAAGGAAGATTGGCGATGCTGCCGATGCGTCCGTTAAGGAAGTCGACAAGTTGCGGGCATCATCAAACTGCACTGCGCTTGCAAGCAATACTTCTGGGGGCTTGTTTCTTTCCCAGCAGGCCAGCACTTCGTGTAATACAGCAGCCCCATAAAAGCTGCTCGTACGCCGAGCTGGGTCTCCTGGTTGTTGACGCGTCACGTGTGGCACCATAAAAACTGCACACGTTACGAGGGGCCCTATAACAATTGTGCATACGCGAGGTAGACTGCAGGACCGTTGTTACAGTGTAGCTGTGGGCCTGTAAAAGTCGTGCACGCCACCTGGCGTCTCTGGCGCTGAGGAAAAGCAAGAATCAGCTTGCGGTATTTGTTTTGAAGAAGTTGAGGGATTCTGATCTCGATTGCTCTCAGTGAGATGGAAGTGAGCTCGAACATTTAACGTACTGTAAACAGGATTCATAAAACAGAAAAGGCGCCCACTTGAATTGCGGGCATTGAAATGGCTGTACTTTCTCATAGATTTGAGTGTACTGTGTGATATTTTGTTCAAAACAATAAAAGAGGTCCCAGACAAAGGAAAAGATATATATGATGTGACTAGTCACTGTCACTTTTAACAGTATGACAGCTGTTGACCGAAGAGAAAACAAATAATTGATCGACACGCCGTAGAAGCACACTGTGTGTGTTCTAGCTTCACTACTAGCATTCAGTTCTGTAATGTATTCATTTTCAGCTTGTTGAAATTGCCGCAAAGAATGGGCTGTTGTCAGTTACATCGGCATTATTGAGCCAGGGGTTTGTCTTTCTGAGAAATGGAGGGAACTAAGATATGTGATAAATCCATGAAAAACTTATGTGAGACTATTATATATAATCTGCAGTTATATTTAGAAATGGTAAGCAAACGAGAAGTGCAACTGGCTGGAAATACAATATCCGGTTGATCTGCGACATTGTTTCGACTGCAGGCGATAACTCAGCATATAGAGATTGCAATGGGAATTTGACCATGGCATAGGTGTAGGTGTCGAAGGTTGTGAAAAAATAAAAATTAAAGATTTGCTTCGAGAGCTGAGCAGGTTTCGAACTGTCCCCCTGGGAGGCCGCATGTGGTCACCTCATGCTTCTTCTTGTAAACCATGCAACAGCGTGTCTCGTGTCCGTGAACGGCTCCCCTCCCGAACCTCGGGCGTGGCCTGCTTTTTCTGGTGTGTCAAAGAGACTGGGTCACGCAGTTTTGTTTGTGTGGGTCTTCTGTCTGCATGCGTCCCACTTTAACGCCATATTTCTTGCCAAAGTTAGCCTTGACACTTTGAACCTCATTGTCTCGCACCGCATAAAAAGGAGAAAAATACAATGCACATGCCTGGCTTTTAGTTAACCATAATAAATAGATATGTATGTACTAAACAAGCATGAATTTACAGACTCCACTCCAAAGATCAAAAACAAGGTATTTGGAAGTTACTGATTGGAAGCTTTTGGAAGCTTGTTCCAAGCAAGCTGTTCTTTGCGTGCATGTTCTTTTGCGCGCAAGAGATGCTTTACAGGTTTTCTGGAACTCTGGAAATGTGTCGGCGTGTTTCATCGGTACGGATTTGAGTTTCGGCATATTCAATTACTGACCAACGCCCTGCATATCCAAGCCGCGGGCTCATAGGTATGAGCAGATTTTTCATTAGGGCGAGCAGTTTCATTGCAATCCCCCCCCCCCCCCCCCTCCTTCTGCTTACTTTGTTGAAGTCCAAAAGATTATGTGCTTCACAGTTGATGAAAACGCAAATATGTTAGTGATGACATGCCTCTCACAGTGGTCTTTGGTCCCTTGCTTTCCGGGAGTAATGGTGGGAAGTAAACATTTCTTGGAATGTGACATTGGGTGCCTTCTGCTGCCTTTATCGTCAAAAACCTGTGATTCCATAACCTTGCTCTTTGAACCATGGCTGTACAGGTCTGACGAGTCAAAGTATGGGGCAAAAGTTAGCCCCTCCCTTCACCTCAATCGAATTATTGGGAGAGAGAAAGGGGGGTGCATTCTTTCTGTGCACGCCTATGCTGTGGTCGGTTTGACAGCTAGCAATGACTCTCGCAAACTGAAAGCGCTACTTCAGTAAGGTCGGTGGGTAGTTCTCGCACTTGAAATACGGGGCACAGGAAGGAGAGGGGTGGGGGGTCTTCTCTGGTTACCTTATAAGGAGCCGTAACACTGACCTAGCCTCCAAATGTGGAGTGGACAGGAACCACGGTGTGTTTTGGGAGGGGGCTGCTGCCAGGGGGAGGGGTGAGAGAGAGAGCTCAGCGAGGAGAAAGCAGGGTGGGGGGGGGGGCGTGGCTAAATTTAGGGACGTCCTGGCGGGCTGCAGCAGCACCATTTGTGTGCGCCTCTGCACACCTGACTCACGGGCCAAAAGTGGCTGCCTAAACTGTGCTGCGTCTTTTCTTTCTCTTAAAAGGAAGCTAAAGGAAAAACATTCAACTAGACTGGACTGGCCGTGCATTCTTTCGAAACTTGATTCTTCTGAGTGAAGCTTAGAGGGGCCTGTGCACTGTGTGTGGTTTAAGGTTGAAGTTCAGGGGAAAACAGAAGCAAGAAGAAATGAAAAAGTTGTCAACTCAGGGCAGCGCGTTGCTGGAGCCAACATGTCTACAAGCAGCCTTGTCTCTTCAGTTGCTGTCTTTTTTGAGGCTGCAACTGGCAAGACAAGGCCTAGTTGTTGAAGCATTTGCTTCAGTGGCAGCCCATGTTCATGAATTTTTCATGGTTCAAGGTTATCACATATATGTGTGTCGACAGGTCATGGTGCATGTTCCTGCCATCCTTTTTTTTTTTTCTTGTTAAGGAAAAGGAAGTGCTAAACTAGTAGTAGAAGTTGGGCTCATCTTTCACTCCTCTTTCCCAACGGCACTACGCCACGCTCTCTTATGGGACGGAAAAAATTATCATTTTTCGGAACTTAAAAAAATCACGATCATGGTCTTAAAATATTTCTTCAACTCTCCAGTTTTATTGCACAATTCTTTAATGAATTTATTATTAAAAGAAAAAAATTTCATGTCTATATTCAATTTTTGTGAAGTCTAGTGTAACCTTATGTCAGTGTGATGTAGGCGTTAATTATCCTTTTGTTTGGCTTGTTGAGTAAGAACTGCTGGAAATTTTCTCTTGATAGTGTTAACAACACCCCGGTATATTTTCATGGACAAGAAAATGACTGAGGCCGGGCGAAAATCATCAAATTCTTCACCATTATGACAAGCTGTCTGGTGCAAACAGATCTGTCTTTTAGCTTATAGAAAGAACATACATTTTGCACCTAACATAGTTTCTTGGTCAAGAATCATTGTTTGGTACGAGCTAACTTTTAAAATTTTAAACTGCACTTCAGTCTTTCATTAGCAGCTGCCACTACATTAATGTCGTTATTGTATCTGTGTCCGTGCCCTTACACTCAAAGAACTTGGTGTGGCAATAGTGCCCTGTGTAAACTAGTGTGACTACAATCTTTTGAACTTTAATCTCTTTAAGATCTGACTATTAGGCTCAAGGCACTGTTCGTTTCATTGTCTCGGTGGATATGTACTTATTCTATATGGCTATCTATTGTGATTCATTTGTCAAAGGTGTTTTACCCACAAATATTTTGCATTGCACTCGTTGGCAAAATTTTAAACTTAATGAGACAGAACAATCTTTGTTACTGCAAGTCATCGCCAACCACATATAATTTTCCCTTCGGCGGCATCGTTTGTTTGCCATTTCAAAATACATCCGCACACAGAAGCATGCTCCTGAACTTCAAAGCAAAGTCATCGAACCACGCTTTAAGGAACTCTCTAGAGGCTGAGGATGAAACTGTCGAACGGGAAGTGACGAGCTTCTTAGCGCCCAAACGAAAAACTAGAGAAGGTAACAGGCTGCTCATGGTTTCCAAATTGAGAGAGCTTGTGCACTTGTGAAGCCTCAGTGCGCGTGAGAAACCGTCCAGCTGTGTAGACACATTCAGCCACCTGGTTTCTTTCTTTTTATTTATATTGTGTTTTACCTTCCCTCTAGAGTAATCTTGAACAGCTGGCACTTCCCACGGTTTTTGATGCTGCAATAATTGCTTTTATTTTAATTCACAAAACAGTTATGGTTTTAATTCAGAAAACAGCAGTGTGTTTAAAAAAAAAAACAAGGTATGCACGCACACACTAATGTAGGTTATTATAGCTCAGTGGCTCGATCATCTTCGAGCTGCATTTCATTAGGAGGTTCCTGTGTCCTTAGAGTTACATGGACATTAAAAAAGACTCCAGGCAGTCGAAATAAATACGAGTTATAATGTGGCTTTTGCTCGTAGAATATCCAAATTTAATTTAACCAGATAGCAATATTTCACTTGCTCCCTCTTGAGAAGAGGAGGGAGGACAAACATTGAGAGAACAGAGAAGAGAGTGCGAATCCATCAGTGAGCTCGGCGGCATGCATGAAATCAGTGATCGAATGAAATTACCCAATTATGTCAGTCACTATCTTACAGCCCCAACTGTTGTGTTCCATTCATTGTGAATAACTTCCATAAATTGTAGTTTATACAGTGTTCGTACAAGTATGCAAAAAAAAAAGAAAAATAAGGGAAGCAATAAACACTTCGAAAGAAAGCTGGTAGGCATAGTTTTTATCTGTGCAGTGCATATGGCGCTTGGCTGTTTTTGCAGCCTGTGCCAGTCATTGGTCAGAAAACCTTTACGTGCTTTTTCATGCATGCAAATGCATTATGTATGACATGAATGACAGGAGACCTAATAACCATTTTGCTTCGACGAGATATGAGTACATTACGTGCCTGTCACATCTGCATGACAGACAAACTCGTGACGGAAGAGCGTGCTTGTAGAGCGACGCGGTGGGTATGGAACGGAACACGTTACGGGTGGACAACTGCAGCTTGTGCGACACAGGAAAAGGTAATAGGATTCAGAACAAAGGCGAGCGTAGACGCTGTCACAATGTCGTGTGTCGGTAAAAAGCTGTTGTTGATGGCCGGGGCACGTGAACAAAAACATGTGCATGGAATCAGGTGTACTGCAAGTGTTGGCCACCACTCTGTCATGTACAGCATGACTCACTGTCAATGGGAACAGTACCTGATTCTAGCAAAGATAGTGCGGCAGCAACCTTCTCATGTTGATCAGAAGGAAGCGGTTTACATGACTCATTGTGCAGTCAGCATCAAAAGTTTAGGGCCCACGAGACATAATACAGAGCAGAATATTCCCACGGCTTTAACAGCAGGCAGCCTTGAATTCAGATTTCTAACTTGTTCTAAAGCTTGCAAATTTTTTTTTACTTACATATTTTTGTTATCGCAATAGAATTGCGATACTTTGGTGTGTTGTGTCTATTACTGTAAATTTCTATAGCATGCATATCTGCCGTCTGCTGCTGACGTTTGAATTGGGCTGACGGGCCTGTCAAGCTGCTTGTATGCAGCTTTTGTCGTCAGCCTTTCAATGTATTCACGATAAATAAATAAAGAATACCTCACCTAAAAAAAATAAAAAATAACGTGCTCTGTGCAGTTCGAATGAATACAGTAAAAATTGCTTGGCAATTTGATTATTTCTCAGACCTAGTGGTGTCTAAATTTCTGACTGCAACTGTACTTACAAAAATTAGTTGGGTAAACTTTACACCATACTTCGTAATTTAAAAAAAATTGTGGAATACTGACTGCATGTTCATGGAGGAATGCTCACACTTCATTTAAGAAACTGAGTAAATGTACATTAAAGATTTTTTATGATGCAGATCCATCAGTTTTGCCTGTCACGTTGTGTTTGGGTGATCAAATTTCAAAAGAAATATGAGCAGCATTGGTATACAGTCAGCTTGTATTTGTAATTAAAGGCATGAAAAGAAATGAAAATCTACATAGCACTGTTAAACTGCTAGGTTAACTAGCCCTCTTAATTATGTAAATTTCTCAATGGAATACTATTAAAAAACACCCACCAGCAGTGATTCAGAAGGGGAAGTTGTTATGTGAAATTGTTTAGTAAAATTTGGCTTAATGCAGATATGATTAAAACAGCAGTTTAGGGTAATTTTATAACTTTTATCATATTATATAAATGCTATCATCCTTTTCTGCTTAATAATTAAACCTCTTTTTTGTGTGTGTGTGAAGCACCACCCTTGGCATATTACAGACGATAAGGAGCAGCTCTTCTTTTCTTGGTTTTAGTAAAACAAACAGGGATCGGTAACAGAACAGACCTTAAGAATAGCAAGGACGTGCGTGACGAAGGGTTTCGACCTTCTCGGAGCAATTGATTAGCAGGCCGACGACTGCTTTTTCCCAGAGCCCGAATGCAGCCTGCGGTACGGCTCAAAAAGAATGCTCAAGTCCTAGCAACAAAGTAGAGGGCATGCCACGTGATGAATGGACTCTGAGAGCGTGCAGCGCCGAACAATAGATGAGCAGCGCGTATTAGCAGCCCTGATGAGTAGGGGGCGGCGCCTTTTGATCTCGCAACAGGTGCGAGCACCTGCGCGCGTTCCCGCAGTTTTTTCTTTTGCTCATCACCGTGGTTCGATTTGAAGAAGGGAGTATGCGTGGGTAGAAGTGTTGTACGCAAGAGTGGATCGCGCTATTCCTGGTTTTTGGTGGTGGCTACGTCAGTCGTCGGTGGGAGGCGAGATTTTTTCGATGGTGTGCTGCCGATTCAGAGCGAGCATGATCGCGCCGGAACGCCGCTTCACTTCGAGGCGCAGGAGTCCAGAGATAAAGATTTCACGGGCGTCGTCACCACGGTAATGTAGCTGTTCACGTTTATGTAATATTATATATCTGAAAATAAACACCTGCGATGAGCAAACAAAACAACTCATTATTTTACTAACATTACAGTCAGTGAACCAGCTACAGCATTATTGAACTGATAGTTGTTTGTTTGTTTGTCGCTAGTGTGTTTACTTGAAAATATTTATATAGGTTAAGCTAGTACTTTTTTCTTGTCTTTTTTTTAACCAAGCGTGCGTGCATGTATGTGCATGCATGCGTGCACACATGTTTATACTACAAAAACTGGTACACACTGGTCTCAAAACAAAACAGTGTGTGTGTGTGTGTGTGTGCGTGCGTGCTGTGTGCACTGCTTAACTGAAGACTGCAGTGAGATCTTGTCATGCTGATTCCTTGGTACATTGTGCTTTATTTGTTTAATGAGTTCATCTAATTGTGCATTCATCTAAAAAAAGCACCTGATCACCGAATAAGGACACAAGCATGAATAAATAATTGGCTGTGAACATTACGAAAAAGGAAAAAAAGGGAAGAGCTTTCTTTCGACGTTGATGACTTAACAAGGCAGATCAAAACATTACATCAGACATGTTAACGGCTCCCGCAAGGTGTTCGTTTGTGAAAGAGTGTCATGCAGAAGGAACTCACTGTACGAAGTCACTACTGAACAGTACTACAGTGCTATTTTTTCAGGTTGAGGCTGCTAATTTTGCACAAATAAATCTCTCATTTCATTTTTTAACGTGGACTAACCAAATTGTGTACACATATGAATGTGTGTGTGTATTTACAACTTTTCAAAACTTCCAACTTTGTGGTGAGGCTTCAAACTAACCTTGGAAAGGGAACTTCAGCGCAGAAATCACCAACTCGGGCTTAGCCACCTTACCCTGCGATGTAGTGATTGCGAGCAATGAGCGATGGTAATAGTTCGTTGATAGGATTTTACGAACCTGTTTTGGAACAGCATCAGACAGCGACGCAATGCTGTGTTCGTGAGCTATGATATCAGTTCCAGTGTCAGTGCTCCATACTTTACATTGTACGTTCGCTTTTTCGTCTGCGGTGCTCGTTTGATTTTTGCTCGGTTGGATCTTGAAGGGGCAACACAGAAACAAATTTTTTTAGATTAGTAAATTACTCTTTCACAGTTCTAAAATCTCCACGCTTTGGGCGTAAAGACACTTGGTAAATGAGAAAACGCACAAAAAGTATATGCAGGTGGCGCCTTGAAATTCCTGCATGAAATGCTGGAATGTCATAGTTTCTGACGGTGTCGACTAGCTCCTACGTTGTTCCCAATTTGTGAAAAATGAAAATAATATCCTCTTAGGATAGACTTGACAAACCAAGTTTCTGTAATTTTGGCTGAGTTAGCATCACCAAAATACGAAAAATGCAATTTGAAATCTGTGATCTCACTTGTACAGACTTCAGCACAAAATTTTAAAATCATGCTTCCACCTTTGTGTCCTCTATTAAATAAACTTATACAGTTGAATGCCTTTATAAAAGACACTGATGTAATAGACAAATGGGTATAAGAGACACTGCTGTGTTTACATTAAAGTAGAGGTTGATAAAAGAACGCATACATGGTACCCTGCTATGAGACACACTTCATATAAAAGACAAGAATTGCTCTCCGGTGCATGTCCCTTATAAAGCAGTCCAACTGCAGTGGCAAAATCAATCGCATTGGAGTTTTCAAAGTACGATTCATCCGGCTAAACTGATTCATCACTTTATTGTCCTCTTAATGGGGCTGTTGAGCACTGTTTTGTGGCAGTGCCTTGTCAGATGCCTTTTTGTACCCGGCCGGTTATTATAGTGATGGCTCACCCTCCATTATTAGCAGAACCAAACGCCAATAAGCAATAGTTGGTAAGACCAACATGCATGATGGTCTGCAGTCCTGCATTACGTGAAGCGTAGCGTATGCATTTTTAAGGTCCTCGTTTTGACGCTTTTTATAAGCTGCTGCCTCCAGCAGGTGTGTGAAAGTTGACTTTTCTTCTTCGGCAGCTGTTCTTACGGCCTGCTGCTACCTCTGATTTACTGAAACGTCAACACAAAAGCCTCGCATTTCATGCAGAGCACTTTACTCTGCGATTGTGTTGGTTCTTGTCTCCTGGCTTCACGCGGTGCTTTTAATTCTTATTTTGTTGCAACAATACCTCAAATGGAGTGTTTCAAATGCATATACTTGTCAAATAAACCGGTTGATTTAATTGAATGGGAACTTTCCCATAAAATGTCCCCCTTGGTACTAGTTATTGCAGTTTTCCTACTTCAGCTGCATTTCCTGCAGAGCTGGCCGCTTCTTACAAGACAGTCATCAAGGTGATGTTTGTAAAGTTTAACTCCACAATGCGTGGGTTAAAGCAGGATCCTCGATGCATTTTGCCTCAGTCCTCAAAAGATGTTGTTCTTGAAACTGGGTCTCAGTGCAGCATTTCAGTGAGAGATGATGTTGCTTTGCTACTGTACAGTTTCAGTTTGCAGTTGGAATGTACGCTCATATGCAGTGAACTGTTAAACAGAGCTGTTAAACAGTTAAAAAAATTTCAGTGATGAGCCTACACCCTTATCTTTTTTTTGCAAATATACTGTCCAGCTCTCTTGATAAGACCCCTGATTACAGGAATGCAGCCCTCATCAAAATATGCTTGGTGCAGTTTTATTTTGACACTACATTTTTGGGGTTTGAGCCTTTTATATAGAACTATTTTCTCTATTGTGTATTGTTGTTGTTGACTAGAACTCTTTCATATAGGTGAGCATTGTAAATGAATCATTACCTGCGTTCTTTTTTCTGTGCAGTCGGTGCTCGTCGGCTCGCAAGAGCCTCATCTGCAATACTTCCCCAACCCTTCCCAGGTGTCATTCTCCCATTCCACAGAGTGAGTTCTTGCTTTGCGCTTGTCATTCAGTTTGAGTGATATCGAGTGATGCTACTTGTCTGCCAGCTTTTTCATCTTTAGGCTCAATGACACCTGTGATTAGCACGGGTGGCATGGCCATTTGCGAATGGCAACCTAAATAGTTGCACAGAGCAACTGATGTTCACACCTACACTTAATCTTTACTCGTCTCCACACAGAGTGAAGAATCGCTCGTATTGCCATTGCCCTGTAAAATAGGCTGATGTTCTATTCCTGAGCATCTGATTGATTCAGAAGTTTGCGACTGACAAATCAAACAGCGAGTGACTGGGCGGAAGCAGTCGCATTGCGACCAATGCGGCCATTTGCAACCAGTTGCTTTGAGACTAACTTGGTCGCGCGACTGGTGCAAGTCGTAGGTGTGAATGAACTTGTAGCATAGAGCAGTGCCTTCTCAGTGCAATGAGATGGATAAAGAGACTTTGCCACGGCTGCAAAGTTGCACTGAAGGGGCCCTGAAGTGCCCTATATTACATGTAGTTGCCAGGGAAACGAGTTGACAAGTGAGGCTTACTTTTCTTCCTCACATTTGTGTGAAGGAAGTGTCTGCGCGCTTTGTAAAGTTTATCTTCGTCGGCGTTTCTGTCATGAACGTGCCCGACCTCCGCAGACTCCTTTGGGAATAGTATGATTATCTGTGATAGCGTGTCATAATTGTATGCCTTCATGTTACTTAAAAAGGCCACTTCACCTCAGAATCTAATTGAATATGGGGATCGGTTCAGTTATCAGCATCTGATGCACAGAATTTAGTTTAGTAGACATGAAAGATGTAAAAAAACATGCCTGTCATAATATCTGCATCTTCGACATGAGCCACCACTTCTTTAATTAAACTTGTAATAAAATGAATTATTTTCTTTTAAAGATAGAAGTCTAAGATCTGAATGTTTAATTTGGAATTAAAAATTATTATTGCAATAAGTTGCAGCTATTTGTGCATCTAAAGTAGGGGACAATAATGTATTGCTCTGAAGTATACCACTGATTTTGTGAACATGGTTTCTGCAAAGCTCTCATAAACAAGGTAACCACTGTATGAATGTTTTAAACTTGCATCTTATTTTTGCCCTCTTCAGATGTGCTAACCTCACTACAATTCACAAAAATGTAAAATTGATTTTGGATTTAATGTTACAAATGTGTCAACTTCATGCAGAAGCTTTTACTACAGTGTGGTCCTGATTCAAAATTTCTGCGTCCTACCGTCGGTTGAGCTTTCTTTGGTAGGCGCAGCAAATTTCTTTCAGAGCGATTCCAGAGAGCTTCTTAACCATCTTGATTGTTGTGCTAGCTTCGTCAATTTTATGTATAAAAAGTTCGACGATCTACTCAGTAGACATCACAAACCCTTGACAGTTAGGGGGTACGCACTGAGCCTTGATCCGCTAGGGGGTAACACCATCGCCACACCATTTTAATGGTTCGTTCGTATGCGTCGTCCTTCTGTTCGACCTTCGCCGTGCAGGAGGTGTTCCGGAGGTCTCTAAACATCCAAGTCGATTGATTGATATGTGGGTTTTAACGTCCCAAAATCACCATATGATTGTGAGAGACGACATGAGCATCTGCATTGCCATACGGATATCACACATAGCGTGTGAAACGAGATGTTCGTATGTGTGACGAGCACGCGGACCGCTAAAATGTCGACTCCGGCACTACTGATCTTCGCAGATGACGTCGATTGCATACGGCGTGTAGCATTTATCAAAAACTAGAGCGATACAGCTAGGAAGGCAAAGGGCGTCAGCACTTCTTCAAGAGAGACTCCAGTAAATCTTGTGTTACAAAACAGCCAGGCCTACTTAAGAGTCAGTAATCAGTAGCTGTGGGTTAGGACCACAGTAGACCATGCTCTCTTAACATTTGCTGGCTTGTTTTTCCTTGCAGGTAGCCCTCTGGACAGTCCTCGAAACATGTCCCCAAGTCAGCACTTCGCATTCGCCCCCGTCAAAAAGTGAGTGCTTGTTTTACAGTGAAGCTGTTATGAGGTCACAAAAAAGTTCATCGACTCTGGTGGCGTAGTTGCCCTTTGCCGCCACCACCGGTGTTCGTAACAGCTTTCGCATGCAATGATGGGGAAAAATATATATTTATTTGAGCGAGCATTGAGCTTGGGCACTCTGTGTAGTAGTGGAGTATTCTACCATGGAGCCACGCTAGTGCTCGAAGCTTCTTTGCAAGAAAACCATATCAGACATCATGCAAGAAATCACGCCAACAGATGTAATGTGACGTGGTAGAAGAGTGAAATAACAGGTGCCCCATAATGCAAATTACATGACAAGTGGGTGGTTTCAAAGCCTTCCACACGTTACAAAGGACTCGGCCGTAATTCTTTGTCATCACCAGCTTCTGCTTCATAGTGCTCGTGATGGCTTACAAACGCATTGTGGGTGTCTCGCTTCTCTGCAGAATGATGAACAATGGCATAATGGGCGGTTTCTTGCTTCACAAAATTGTGATTATCTCTGGGGTGTACAGGATAGCTTGCAGCGGACGAGCCCTCTACGGTTCACGCCCCGACGGACCTGAATAAAGTTTTTCCATCTCCTTTCTAAAAGGGCCACTCCTGCAGCTTTCACTGTGACTGTGCTGCATGTTTTGCAAAGGCCTTGAATTTTTTTTCCTTGATATATATATATATATAGAGCTGCATGTTCAGTTCAGGCGTTTCTTCTTCTTCTTCTTTCCTTCTATACATATAGCTGCCTTCACTCTTTATGTAATGCTGTCGATCATAGCCAGTCCACAGCATTGCTGAGAAAACAGAGCAGCATGTGCAGCGAAGGATTTCAAGTGCCCCCCCACCTATGACTTCATTGCTATTCTTCAATAGTTCTGGAATTTCCATAGATAACGAAAACTGTGAAGTTCCTGGAAGCATTTAGCATAATTCATGGAAAACAGTGGGAGGAATGGTGGGATGAGACAAAAAGACAGGACATGCTACTGATGGCGAGCGTCAAGTGCAAATGCTTGCAGTTTGCAACTCCCCAGTCTCTTCTCTGTTGCCCCATAATTTTTAGGTTTTTTTTTCTTTCGTGAAGTCCTGTGAAAAAGCTCAAGCTCTGGCCATTGTATATAGTATTAGCTTAGTTCATGAATTCTTTGAAGTTCCCTGTGTACGTTTTAAAGCATTTTGCAACTACTGTAATACCACTGAATGTTAATTGTCACCTCTCAACTGCATTGGCACCTAACATTTGCAACTGCTTCAAATGCGAAGGAATTTTTCTTTAGGAAAAAAAGACGCAGTATGGCTGCAGCACAGTTTCAATGAAAAAATATCCTTCAAACAAGGTTGCTTGTGAACCAGCTTAACTGCAAGGTTTAACGTGCATCATCAACACAAGTCCCCTGTATTTCTTAGGCCACTTGAAGCTAGCGCTAGATTCAAGAAGACGACACTGTACTGAAACACGATCGAAATGCACTCTTAAGTGCACTTGGTGGCTGCGGCTGCAACGTACTTGACAGTCAGCAAACACTCCTCAGGTGAGAGATATGCAACGCACAGCACGTGGCTTATCTCTGATGCGAGAACCTTGCTTGTTACCCCATGCTCGGTACGATTGAAAGCACAGGGTCTCGATGACAATCTGTGTTGCTCTCGAGATAGCTGGTTTGCACATACTTCCTTTAATACCCTGTTGCTGCTCCTTTCCATTGACTTTGGGCTACTTGCTCGCATTCTTGACATCTCATGCCTTTCTGTCTCGTGTCTCGGTTGTACTGGACTAGTATAGGAACGATGACAAAATGGTCGCATAACAATGTTGGCAGTGTGAACATCGTTGTACTCCCTTAAAGTAGCATTTTGAGAGGGCGATCGCAGATTTTGCGCAAACAAAAGCACTTAAAACGTGCAGTACAAGCGCCTTTAGCCTGTCTCATGCGTGTTGTTCATATTAGAAACCTGTGACCATCTATCGCTATACAGCCAGTTCAAAAGCAATGCTCAGTTTTCACAGGAAGGTTTAGCTTGGGGCTGACTCTTGACTTCCGAGTTTACGCACATGTGATGCAGAGTTTTTACTTGGTTCATCCATGAAATGGATGTGCGTAAGTTTTTTATTTAGGAAAATTTATCAACTCACTCAAATAATTTCTCCTACACTTCAACTCATCTCAGTGGCACAGCATGCACTCTTTGTAGAAGTGAGAGAAACGCTTCTAAAATAAATTATGGATGTTTTACTGCTCAGTAATGTAACTAGAAACCTTATGAAGTAACACATTGTCTCTGCTGCTTTTGTAAGTGGTGTGTACGTAGGGAAAGATGTGTGCAATACTTCTCTAACGAGCACTCAGCAGATGTGACACTAAGAAAATTGTTCACAGGGTCGGCATAAAACTCCAGTCCTTACTTATTGATGAGCTGCCTCACCGTTGTTCTAGGCATGATGACAGCGTGCCTCTATCCTCGTTCTCCATGCAGGGCGGACGGCCGGCGATGGTCAGTCGCGTCACTGCCGTCATCGGGCTATGGGACCAACACACCCGGAAGCTCCAACGTATCTGTGAGTGGTTGCCACCGCTTCCCACCTCCTCTCACACTCTTTTGCATGTTTTAAAGATTTACTCTAATCATTCAGAGCTGTGTGTGACGTTACTGTGGCCCTGAGAATCGGGAAATAAGAACATACAAGGTGTGTTTTTTGGTTCAATGCACATATACTTTCGCTGCCACCGTGATTAGTTTTAGTCGTATCTGAATGATTTTGACTTGGACACTTATCGGTGCCCTCATTATCGCTAGTGGTCAAATTCACAGTGACTTGACGCAGCTATGTCAAGCAACTGTGCATACCAGTTGTACTAAATGCTTTAATGTTGCCTTTCAATGTGTGAGCACTGTACAGTCACTTGCACTTGTGTGACTGAATTGTCACTTGTATAAGTTACACGATGGAAATGGATGGCTTGACGAGCTAAAAGAAATTGTACATGGCTTCGATTTTTCTTCACTGCTTCAACTAAATGATATTTTCTCATATGGGATCATGCCCAAGTGGGAGGACAGTGTGTAGTTGTGGAATTACGGCTTGTAGAAGCCATAGGTGATCTTGGAGCTTGTGAGGCCCTGTGTGCTCTGTGTTGCAAGTCGCATTCAGCACGACTGTATAATTATACTTTATTAACTAGCAATTAGCACTTGCTCTAGTTCTGTTTGTTAACTCTATTCCGTGTTTACATTAAGAGTTGTGCAGAGTTTGTTGTATTACCGTAAAATGAGAAGCTCACAAATGTAATTCTCATTTTACAGCGAAAGCTGTTATCAGATCACAACTCTGGTCTCGCGCAGTGCTGTAGTTGTTTGCTGTCGCCGCCAGTGTCCGCAACCACATCGCGAGAGATAAGTGAAAAACCTAGTATCAATGACACAGTGCGGCTCGAACCCGGGTCCGCTGGGTGCCAACCCAGTATTCTACCACTGAGCTACGCCGGTGCTTGGGACTTGTTGGCACACTTGCCCTAGGCAGGCGTGATGTCGGGAAAGCAATCGCGTTAATACGACTTATAAAGCATTTTAGAACAGCAAACAAACAACCAGGCCTCACACAATGTGATTAGTGTAACGAGTGGGTCGTCCAATGCTCTAACCCACTATAAAAGCTTACTCTTTATCACCTATTAACAGTGGCGCATACCCACTTCAGGCATAATTCCTCATCGTCGTCAGCCACTGCATGAACAACTGGCACAAAATTCTTCGCAATAGTTTAGCAGACACCACGTTTCTCAGAAGAATCACGAAAGATAGCGTACCGAATGCCGGCCTACTGCCCTAAAATTTTTATTATTAATGCCGTAGTGGGTGTCAAGCAAGCGTGCTTGCAGTAGTTACCCAATGAGTGTTTAAGAAAAAGCTTTGAAAGGCTGCTCTTCTAGCATTCACTGTGACCGTGCTGCGCCTTCCGCGCGGGCCTGGCATTTTTTATTTATTTTATTTCCTTCTTTGTTTGCTTCTCTGTGGCACATTTTTTTTGCTCCTTAATTGTTTTCCTTTCACAGTGCCCCTCCCCCTTGCAGCACAGTAGTCGTTCTGGAGCTTTGGAAAGGGAATTTAAGGGCTCATTTTTTTTCTTTTTTTAGACACAACATTAGTTATGAATAACTGACAATCAAGCCAAGTAAAGCATAGGGGATGTTATTTGTAGTGAAAAGGCTGTTTGCCATGGGCAGGGGGCACTAAACTTGGAACCTTGGAATAATGCGTGTGATGCTCTACCAATTGATCTACAGCGGCAATTAATGTATGCGATGACCTCGGAGTGTTAGAGAGCATCACTTGTAGCTATGGCGGCTTGTGTGGAAGATTTATTTTTTTTTTACCTGCTCGGGTCACAAAGCACATGATCTTATTACAAGCTTGCAGCTGTAGCCTATAAGAGATGTGAAATAAATAAATGAAATAGACTGTACATAACAGAAAATCGCATGCTAACCTTCATACATGATCGTTATTTCCGTTAATCGACCAGTGCCATCCTCTCCCTCCCAGTCCCAGTGCTCCAGCCAGGAGAAGCTGCACCTGCTGCCCTACCAGCCGACGCCGGACGAGCCGGCAGGCACTCCGGTCGGCCATCCGCCGCACTACTTTCCATCGCACCAGTACCACCAGCACCACCCGCACCCATTCGCCCACCACATCCACCAGGCGCACCAGTCGCGGCACTTCTCCAGCAACGAGAGCAACCCTGGTCTCGAGAACGACGGCCACCAGCAGCAGCACCAGGGCTCCCCCGGCGTGCACGTCACGCCCACCACGTCGTCGGGCTCCGCGTCGCCCATCATCAGGCCACGGTCGCGAAGCCTCAGGTAGGTTATCGACGCTGGGCGGATGTTGACGCTACCTATTGAAGCTTGGAAAGAAATTGGACGGAATAGGGGGATGATAAAAAAAAATAAAATGAGGGCAGTTTGCTCAAGTAGTGCAAGGCTAAACTAATGGTGGAGATTGTGGCCGACCTAGCAAGGTCTTAATTAGCAAGTCCCAGTTGTAGTTAGCAAGGTTCTTAACTAGTTAGGATGTAGTTAGCATAGTCCTATTAATCAAAACATTACTTAGCATGATATTAGCATGGCTTGGCTTAATTGACTAAGCTTGAAGACTAAGAAGACAAAAAGAGTTTCCACAGCCTTTTTGAAGTGTAATTACTGTGCCCAGGGTGTAATTATAGGCAATTATAGGCCTCACTACCACGTTACTGTTTTTGCCAGGAGGTTTACACTCGGACCTCGATATAAAGAATGGAGATATAACAAAATATTGGTTATAACGAAGTAACTGGGTCTATGCTTGGAATAAATACAGTGTTATGAATAAACATTTATAATGAATTTTCAGATATAATGAATTTTTTTTTATGTAAGATGCAACTTTGTTATGAGGTTTGATTGTAAATGCACCAAGTCTATCTGATAGTGTGGTCAAGTGCAGTTAATAACCCACAGTTTGTGGCTTTCTCTTTTGCCCCACCGATGCCCTCTTTCTTTTCAGTAGTCCCATGCGGTCACCCGGCATAGACAATGAGATTGTTCTTATGAACAGTGTCTACAAGGAACGCTTTCCAAAGGTGAGCGTACATGCCCTCAGTTTCATCCGGCACAGGTGGAGAATGTTTGAAGCCTAACCACATTTTCCCCATTTCTTTTTTTGCATGCGAATTGAGGCTTTCTTTTTCTTTTGATGTTTCAAGTTTATCAACAGACTCGCAAGATACAATGCATACATCAAAGTGCAATGTTTTCAGAAGAAGGCTCAACAGTAAGCTAACAGTAAAAAATGTGGGAAGGCCTTTTGTCTGAGTCTGACATAAGAGAGTTTAGTAAGAACAGAAATGAATTTACTATACAGGCTTGGATTGATCATACGTATACAAATATAAATAAATAAATAAAATAACTCCGGTGAAGAACATATCTAGAGGCAATGCAAAAACAATTTTGCAAAACAAATCGGGAACGTGGGTATGTTTTTTAACACGGTGTGTGAAATACGTGAACGAAATGAATAATAATACAATTAAAGTGAAGCATAGACGAAGTTGAAACGAGAACTTCTAATTCTATTCACACTTCTACAAGGTGGGAGTGTAGAAGCATGTACTGAAGAGCAACTGCAGTACTGTTGCTATTTGAGTCTATACATTTTGAGAAAGAAGTTGTGGGAAGCAACATGAATGATTCCTACCGCAGAGTGCTAATTTGGAGTTGATAGGAATGATTGCCTAGGAACATATGTACTAGCTTTCTTTTGTTCTGGTAATGAGGTTGTCTGTATCAAGTAAATAAATAAATAAGTCATATGCCACAAGGTGGGCCCAACTGAAAAGCTCGCAAGGAGGATTCCACGATTTTAGTATAATTGGTAACATTTTTCAACGGGAATCCCGCACGCTCCACAGGCCACCCAGCAGATGGAGGAGCGGCTCGAGCAGTTTGTGAGCCAAGAGGCGGAGCTCGACGCGCAGCACGCCTGCGACGCCGTCGCCCGCTTCGCTCACCACCAGATCATCGAACTGGCCCGGGACTGCCTGCAAAAGTCGCACGACAAACTTGTCACGTCGCAGTACTTCTACGAGATGTACGAAAGCCTGGAGAAGCTCCTCGCTGAGGTGAGGGAAGAGAACAGGCGAATCTCTCTACCGCGGTCGGTGTTCAAAACTTAGATCGCTCAAGTACCGTCCACTTTAGAAAAAAATTTTCGAGCAGCTTTGCAGTTCACTTTTGTTCAAAAAGAGCATCTAAACTATCATTGTGAAAATATATGTGTATATTTTACGATACAGTGCTTAGAACTCTGTTTATTTTTTAAATTAATGCATTAACAATCTTCAGATTAAACTTTTTTGCTAAAATAAAATAATTTGGATGTCAAGCTCAGTTTAGCTAAACTGATACGTTTATTTTACAGGGAAGAGAAAAACGTGGCGAATTCACGGGGAGTAAGTGGGGGGAATTGTTGCTCAGAGTTTTCATTGATGTGCGTTTAGTGACAATGCCAATTTGCAGTATTCTTAGAGCACCTACTAAAATGCTGATGCAGAAAAGACAGTGTTTAACATTTTCATCCATGTTACTCTACGTGCACTTTATTGTTTTATGTGAATTGCTGTACAGAGAGGCCTTGGTACATTTCCTCACAAAATTTCTGTCGTACAGATGTACTATAAAGGATAAATTGCAAATTAAAAGCCGGTTCAATTGGTGCTTCCTATTAATCACGACAGTAACAGAAAAAGATTTTGGGAGTCCACTGCTTAGAACACTGTTCTACACTGGTGGGCTGTGATGTCTTGGTGGTTACTTCCTTATTTTTTGTGATATTCAGAAATTTTCTTTTTCGTTTTGTCGCAACACTTCAGAAAGTGTTCAATCTAGATGGTTGTGACTGCTTGTGGCACATTCGTCCTTCCAAGAATTTCTTATATCGCATAAAAGCGATTTCAGCATTCATAGAGCAGTTCTTCCAGAACTTATCTCGGAGAAACCGGCGGACCGCTTGTTCCGAATTCGATGATGTGCTGTAAAAACAGTTTTAATGAGGTTTTGATGAGCTTCTGATGAGGTTTTTTATCGTCGCCCGCAGTGTCAAGAGAAATCACCAGATGCTGCCCACCACCTGCGCAAGCTGGTGCGCAAGTTGTTGCTCATTGTGTCCAGGCCTGCACGACTGCTGGAATGTCTGGTCAGTTCTCTTCTGGGCCTCCTGTCTCATTCGTTCGCAACTCAGCGCCTGCCGTTCTAAACAGTGCCTAGCACCGTTTTTAACCATCTTACTTCACAGCTCTGTTCCTTGCACACAAGGGCTTGAAAATTTGTGGCTGCCTGTAATTGCCAACTAGCCCCATGCTGCGCAATGCAAATTGATACTGCAGAAATAGGCAGCATGGAGCAGTGTACAGAAAAAATATATGTCGACTTCCGATAGTTCTTAGTCGCTTAATTGGAATTTTCAGTTAATTAGAAGTCAACAGGTGGTCCCATCAATATTGCATGCACGCCTATAAGAAAAAAAAATTTTTCGATAGTCCAAAGTTAATTACCTGTAATGTTGGTTAACGAAGTTTTTGTTTTGAAGATCTTTGAGGCGACCGTAATTTCTCATAAAATGGAAAATTTTTCATGTGCCAAGACCGCCAAGGACAGCTGTTGAACCGCGCTGTTGTCGCCATCACCAATGCTCGCAGTGCCACAGTTCATGAAACGGCCATCTTGTTTAGTCAACACCGAGGCATCGCATCAGCTAACTAGGTCTTGCGTTGTGATGTGTTGAGTGCTTCAGCCACACGCCAAGTTGAAGTCTGGTCACAGAATACCACCTATATGGTCTGGTTGAAGTTAAAACAGCGCGACTGGACACTGTTGGAAAATAACGCTCAAACACACGCACAGCATTGTGTGTGTGTTTGCGTTTTCTGCTCTGTCTGTGTCCAGTTGTGCTGTTCAAACATAGCATGATAAACAAACTAGCCCGCCAACACACTCTGGGTTGATTTCGCATGTGTTTCCATAGCTGAATTCGAGTGTTGTGGTTTGATAATGGCAACTTGCGGCCCCTACAAAACGCTTGATCTGGCGATGAAAGTCGAAAGTCTTCAAAGAAGTTGGTCAAGGAGGCACTGCCAAGCGAGACATCGCACGAAAGTATGGCGTTAAACCTAACGCGCTCTCGAATTTCATCAAGTTCAAACGGGAACTCGACGATGGTAGTTTTGGAGACTTTCTTAGTGATGTCCGTTTTGAAAAGTTTGTTTCTATGTACTTCTGCAGCTCCTAATGTGTCTGATGGTATCAGCTTTGTGGAGCATTCATTCTTCACTCAATAAAACTATCAAGATGCCTTTTCTATGCTGAAGAATTACAGAAATGGAATTTAACTGCTCAACCATTGTCGGAATGGGAATGGTCTAAGTGCTTTCATTCTGAGGAATTGAAAGGAATGGAATTGCAACAAGTTCTAATTCCCCTGAATGGAATTGGAATGAGGTGGAGGTGTCCATTCCGCAACACTGGTGACTAGTGTAAGAGCAAACGCCTTACCTGGCATTCCATACAGGAATTCGACCCCGAGGAGTTCTATCGTCTGCTGGAGGCGGCTGAAGGCCAGGCCAAGGTGGTGCAAGGCATCTCTACAGACATCCCTCAGTACATCATCAACAAGCTGGGTCTGAACCGGGACCCCTTCGCAGGTTAGACATTTCCTCCTTGACAATGGCACCTTTCCATGATTTTGTTCTTGTACAGCTATGTTTTACAGCATCGTGCACAGTGATGTTGCAAAACTATGTTGCAAAGCCATGTTGAAAAGCCATGGTATACAGCCATGTTTTACTGCAATTCTGTACAATGATGTAAAGCCACCTTGTACGGGCATGTTGTGCAGCCATCATGTAATTGAAGAGCTGACTGATTGAAACATCATGTCAAAACCTTTAGTTCAACGACTGTTATGCACAATTTCTCAAGAAAGCTGTGTCATGTTTCTATGGATCTGGTCGCTAAGAGCAATGTTAACTCTTATGTAAGTGCTTTCTTTTATTCATTCTTTATTCAAAGGTTGCCCCACATTGCCCAAAGGCGTTACAGCAGGGTGCTCAACTTGAAATTATGTCAATTTGGCAAGTGTGGAAGACAGCGAAAATGAATGTGGGCATTACTTAGCCCTGAATTTTGTGCTATACTTGGAGGACTATAGCCTGCCGTCAATACGTGCTGCGTAGGTCTTTTGGTTCTTTCTGTGTGCATGGACAATACAGAATGTGTTTGCTTTAAGTCACAGACATTTCAAAGGCAAATGTGCCCCAACAATGCGTTACTGGCGAATTCAGAATGCAGCTAAACTCGCTGTGTAATTGTCGGCAGTCTTCCAAATGAAAAAAAAATAAAAATAATGTATGGCTAAATTCGCTCCTGTAGGCTTTTTCGAGAGCATTGTGGTTTACAGTCTGGAAGGCATTGCACTTCCTCCAAAAATTTGGGTAGCTGTTGCAGATATTAGCATTGTGTTAAGGATGACGTTTCCTTAGCACAAGAAATGGCAAAAAGTGTTCCCGTTGATGCTCGCCCAAGATTTTATGGCAGTTCGCTAGCAGTCATGCTGTTGTCATTGTCATGAGTTTGTCATAGTAGTCAGGGCTCATGTTTCTGCAACATACTAGCAGTCATGCTATTATTGCCTTGTCATCATCCTGCTGTCTTCTTCATGCATCTTTGTTCTACATCAGATTCATTGGACCACTTGTTGCCGACGTCACGCTCTTCTCATTGTCATCACTGTCGGTTATCATAGAACCAGCTGTATCTGTTTGAGGAGGCACGTGGGGCCTTTCTTTCAGTGGCCTCCTGCGATTCTTTAGCTGTACTGTCCGAGGTCGATTTTCTGGCCAGAAGCCAGCATGGTCATTAGTTGTCATGATAACTAGGAGATATCTGGCATGACCATTTACAATTCATAATTTGCGCACTCGAGTTGGGCAGGGTAGAGCTTATTTCTGTGTTTGAATGCATAGCCGTGTGCAGTGTTTTTCTTTTCTCCCCCAGAGTGTGGAAAAGCTTGTGCTTGTGCTTTTGGTTCAGATCTGGCTGCAGAAGAGTCTGCCGACCAGCTTGATTCGGTGCCCGAGGTTGAGGAAAAGAAGCCGCTGACAAAAACGCCCTGCGAGGACGACTTCGAAACTATCAAGCTCATAAGCAATGGTGCCTACGGGTGAGTCGATGGATGTGTCTATACCTTGGTCCAACCCAAGAGTAATTGTAAGCTCTGCCCACAGAACCACAGTGCTGATCAGCCGCGGTGGTCTATTGGCTGATGCACTCGGCTGCTTACTCGCAGATCGCGGGATCGAATCCTCTTCTTAGAATGCAAATTTATTCTCCTGGCAGTTCATGCACTTCTGCCCAGGCCTCGATCGTTACCTAGAAAAGCTACGTCCAGAGTAGCTTCAGTCAGCCGAAGAGTTCATTCCTGAGATCCTGATGTTTTCATGTTTTCGGTCGGTAGAAACTTTTCTGGGTCAACGTATAGCTGATCTCCTGCCTTGGTTAGGGCACTCGCAGTCACAAGTTTGAGCACGCAAAAGGGCACCATGCAGCTATTTTCACTGTGCAAAATAACTTTCACTTAACATCAACGTTCATACTGATAACAGCAGGACACCACTAGTTGCACTTCACAAGGCAACAAATTACAACGCGTACGTCTCAGTCGAGCATGAAGGCATTCTACGCAACCTCGTGAACTCGTGGTCCATTGTCATTATGTAATGGCAATGACACCGTGTTCAACTATGCTGACATCAGGCCTTTTGGCAACGTGGTTTCAGTTTTGTTTTCACACTCAGGCAATTCTCCGACTTGATTTATCGGGAGAAAGATGCGCGTTGGATTCACTTTTTTAAAGTTGAGAATAAAGGGTCCCTTGCACCTGCTTCAACCAAGCAATGCTGCCACTGGCAAGAATAATTTAATCTACCTTCCTCGTAGAAGCACAAGGTCCCTTTGTGGGCTTATTCAGGCATTCTCTACCCAATTTTCGTTCAAAGCTGAGTGTCACTGCCTCTATTCTCAGTTTATCAACTATACACGACGTCGGGATTATACGACGGTTTTGTGTGGTCCGCTGAAAGTCTTCTTCCCAGAAAGATTCTTTTTGTCTTAATAAAACTCATTGATTGATTGATTGATTGATTGATTGATTGATTGATTGAATTGGGGTGTCAGTGTATAGTGGCTTCTTTTTCACACAATAGACTACCTTTGGTAACACTAAACTGTAACCCTCTGAAGTGCACTTGTTGGACAGTGTGTCACCTTTTTTGTTTGGCCTGTTTTTTTTTTTGCTTCAGGGCCGTGTACCTGGTTCGTCACAAGGAGAGCCGTCAGCGCTTCGCCATGAAGAAGATCAACAAGCAGAACCTGGTGCTGCGCAATCAGGTGGAGCAGGTGTTCGCAGAGCGCGACATTCTCAGCTTCACCGACAACCCCTTCGTCGTCTCCATGCTGTGCAGCTTCGAGACCAAGGTGCCTCGACACTTCAATTAGTCAATCAACCTATGGAACATTATTTGCATGAACACATAATTGCAGATAAAAGGAATATTTGGACAGATGGCATAAAGTCACTTGTGGTCAGTTGAACGCAATTTGTAACAAGGTATTCACAGGTCATGGTGTTCCGCCCTAGAGCATTCTTGCTTGCTACAAGTACTTAGTGGGGTTCTGTTCTGCACGCTCAGGGGATTATCACACAACCTGCTCATTGAGCTTCTTGAGCTATGACGAATCGCAAAATGCCGTTTAGTAAAGGGTAGGTCAAAAATTATTCAAGCCTCATACGGTGGTATCAGGATCTGGGGCCGCGAAGAAGAGAGCCGACCAGTCACCACTACCCAACAAAGCAGACTGATCCTTTATTTCACAACACCTATATATACGAGACGACGGTGCCACCAATGTGTTTCTAGAATAGGCACTCAAACAAAACTAGTGACGCAACACTTACCTTTTACCATGGTCACTTTAAAACGCTTCTCCAAGCAAAAAAAAAAACATAGAATCTTGGGTGCATTTGTGTGTAGTTGTATGCATTCATAGCACAGCCTATGTGGGCCATTTTAATATAGGCAAATGACTATAATGATGCTTGCTTCTCTCGACTGATGGACTAACCTTCACGTCCTATATCAACGTCACGCAGCGCCATCTGTGCCTGGTGATGGAGTATGTGGAAGGGGGCGACGCAGCCACCTTGCTCAAGAACATGGGCCCACTGCCTGTGGACATTGCCCAGTTCTACTTTGCCGAGACAGTGCTCGCCGTTGAGTATCTGCACAGCTACGGCATCGTCCACCGTGATCTCAAACCCGACAAGTGAGTTGCATTACCAGTTACAGACTTACCTTTTCGAGTTGGTACTACTTGCTAGTTCAGGGCGTTACTCTAAAATTCTAGCATTAAGCCGCTCTAGAGGAAGGAAGACACCAGATCGGGAGGCAGAAAAAGGAAGGAATTTTACTATGGCAGAGGTCTGTGTATTGCGCTGTACGTCTCACACGAGACAAAACAAATGAAAGAGAGACGCTGTGCACACTTGTCAGTTTTATTGATGTTGTTCTTTATTAAAAGTGCTTTGTAGAAAACTGAACTATCTCATACAAAATAGCCTGGGGTTCAAACATTATTGAACTATAGCAAAGACACTGAAACTCTTGTTACAACAGATTGGGGTGCACTGAATGTGCATGCCCATAAACACTCGTGGCATGTGTATAACGCAATCGCCGACAATAGTCCACTTATTTATTGAAGAGCAATGATGTGTTCTCGCAGATGTCACCCTCTTCATCAAAGCATCATTTTTTACCTTGACACTATTTTGGAATGCACGTGAAAAAAGCTTCACGGTGGCGTGTTTTGCACTGATAGTATGACATTTTGTCACGTTACAACGTAACTGTAACCTGTAGATAATGGCATACAAGTATGTCAAACTGATTCAAACGATGGCAGTATGACTATTGTTTTTCTCTGCACGCGCATCTTTGTCCTCTTCTGAACAGCGGCACATACAAGCATGCCAGCATCTGTGGAAATAATACTTTCAGAACTTGTACTAGTGGCATTACCCCCCTTCCCAAAGGACATTGTCCCGATATCATAACATAATTACCAGATGAAAAGAAAACACGTACGATAGGCAGTACACAAGGGGGTGTTCGCAATCACTGTAAGTCTACTCAAGGGAGTGTGACGAATAGTCAGCGTCGGTAAAATGATTTCATCCTCGAAACATGGACGACGTGTGGCTGTTGTGAACGGCGGGATTGACGAGCCATGTTTTCGTCAAGAACCTCGTAGTTCACTTCACTGAGACGATGGAGAACTCTATAGGGACCAAAATAGCGGCGTAACAACTTTTCCGACCGGCCCTGTTGTCGAATGGGAGTCCACAACCATACTCGTTCTCCGGGTTGGTAAGAGACATCGCGATGACAAGCGTTGTACCGCAGCGAGTCGATGCATTGTTGCTTATGAATTCGTTCGACTGCAAGCTTACGAGCCACGTCTGCCAGTCTGATAAATTCGTTCGTCTTGACACTAATCTGGTGTCTGTCTGGCAGAAGCATGGCATCCAGCATTGTAATGACCTCCCTGCCATGAAGCAACAGGAATGTTGTGAATCCAGTTATTTCTTGCACAGCGATGTTGTAAGCGAACGTGACGTAAGGGAGGATGTCATCCCAGTTTTTGTGGTCTTGTTCAACGTACATGGATAGCATGTCGGCGATCGTCTTGTTTAGTCGCTCTGTAAGGCCGTTGCTTTGTGGGTGGTATGCAGCAGTTTTTCAATGTACTGTGCCGCTAAGCTGCATGACGTCTTGTATCATCCGGGCGGTAAAAGCTGTGCCACGATCAGTTATGACAACTGCTGGTGCTCCATGTTGGAGGACGATGTTTTTCATAAAAAAGTGGGCAGTCTCAATGGCGGTGCCACGTTGTAATGCCTTCGTTTCGCAGTAGCGCGTCATGTAATCAGTAGCGACTACAATCCAGCAGTTGCCGTCACGAGACTTGGGAAAAGGTCCGAGTAGCTCCATGCCAATTTGTTGGAACGGTTGTGTCGGAGGAGCGACGGGCTTCAAAAAGCCGGCTGGGCGCTGATGTGGTGCTTTACGGCGCTGGCACTCGTGACACGTCTTCACGTAATGCTTCACGTCTCGACTGAGCTTAGGCCAGTAGTAGTGTTGGCGAATCCAGGCCAAGGTACGTGTGAATCCCAAGTGGCTTGAGGAAGGCTCATCGTGACAGGCGGACAAGACATCGGCTCGTAACGCTGGCGGGACAACGAGCAGGTACTCAGTCGCGTAAGGGTCGAAGTTTCTTTTATAGAGGATATTTCTGCGGACGCAGAATGATGATGACGAGCGGGCGAATGCTGGTGGTGGATGCGGCGTACGGTTTTCGAGATATTCGATGAATTGTCGAAGCTCGGAATCGTTCTTCTGCTGTTCAGCCAAGTCGGATACACTAACGGCGCAGAGAAAACGGCCGTCGAGATCGTGATCACCTGACGCTGTCTTAAGAGGAGCTCGGGAAAGGCAGTCCGCGTCAGTATGCTTCCGGCCAGACTTGTACACGACTGTCAAATCAAACTCCTGAAGGTGTAAGCTCCACCTGGCCAGACGTCTGGAAGGGTCTTGAAGGCTCGCCAACCAGCAGAGCGCATGATGATCAGTAACAACTCTGAACGGGCGACCATACAGGTACGATCTGAATTTAGCTATTGCCCAGACAACAGCTAGGCACTCCTTTTCAGTTGTTGTGTAATTCGCCTCCACAGATGATAAAATCCGACTCGCATAAGCAATAGGGCGTTCGACGCCGCCTTACCGCTGGACAAGGACTGCACCAAGGCCGATGTTACTGGCGTATGTGTGTAGTTCAGTGTCCGAGTAAGGGCTCAGACTGGAGACGCTGCTGGAGCTCGGAGAAAGCGCGTGTTTGCTCAAGGCCCCACACGAAGGGAACGTCGTCTTTTGTCAAACGAGTGAGGGGTTCGGCAATGTTTGCGAAATTTTGCACAAAGCGTCTGTAGTACCGTATATACTCGTGTAAGGGCCGCACTTTTTTTTCGAAAATTTTGCTAGGTGCGGCCCTTACACGAATCAGGCCGATTTAGTACAGGCAGTACAGGCCAAAGGTCTGTACTGTTTATGCAACAGTAGCAGAGTGCAAGAGTCACAAATGACATGCCAGAAATGTTTTTATTCGGATTCCATTTCGCTGTCCTCGTTCTCGGAGGAGCTCGCCTCGGCGTCCGCGTCTTCCCAGAGACGGTCATCTTCGGTGCCGTTCATGGAGTTCGAAATTCCCGTTACCTTGAAGCTTTTAGCAACTACTTCTACTGACATGGCACGCCACGCATTCAAAATCCATTCACACACCTGTTGGAGCGACGCCCGCTTCAGCCGTCCTGTAGGGGTCTTCTCGTGGACGCCTCCAGCCATCCATTCAGAGTAACATCGGCGAAATTCCACTTTGAATGGTCTGTTGACGCATACGTCGAGCGGCTGCAGCACACTCGTCAGGCCACCGGGAATGACGGCCAAGTCCGTACGAGTTGCGGCAACTCGGTTCTTGACGCGGTCGGTCAAGTGGCCCCTAAAGCTGTCCAAAACAAGGAGGGCTTTCCGTTGTAACAGCCCTCCAGGTCTGTTTGCCCAGACGGTCTTAATCCAGTCAACGACCAGTTCCTCGGACATCCAGCCCTTCTCTTGCGCACGTACGACGATTCCCTGAGGGAACTTCTCTTTTGGGAGAGTCTTCCTTTTAAATACGACGTACGGCGGAAGCCTCCTGCCGTCTGCCGTGATGCACAACATCACAGTGCACCTTTGGCGTTCTGCACCAGTCGTGCGCACAGACACACTTTTCGCACCTTTTAAATCCACTGTGGTGCTTTCCGGTGCATCGAACCACACAGGTGTCTGGTCCGCATTCCCAATTTGGGACAGGTCGTATTCATGCTCCCTCCTGAGAGCATTCACGAAGCGATGAAACTTAATGACGTGGTCTTCGTACTCGCGCGGCAGTTTTTGGCAAATCGTCGTTCGGCGCCGAATAGAAAGCTGGTTACGGTTCATAAACCGCGTAGCCCAGCCCCGACTTGCCTTGAATTGTGCCGGGGGTATTTCCATGTGGCGAGCGATGCTGAGGGCTTTGACGCGTATCATGTCAGTCGATACGGCGTAGCCGTCCCTTCGTGTGTCGACGACGTAGTTGACGAGCTCGCTTTCGAGTTGCGGGTACTTGCACTTTTTCCCGCGAAACGCCTTTCGGCTCCTGTTAGTAGCGGCGAGGGCATCTTTCTGATTCATCCAGTAACGCACGCGCTTCTCATCGACGTCGTACTTTCGTCCAGCTTCCCGCTTCCCGTGCTCCTCGGCATAGTCAATCACTTGCAGCTTAAATGCTGCAGTGAATGATCTCAGATGCCGGCCCATCGTCCGTCACGTGCGCTGGCTTCTGCAGGGTTCACTACAACCAACAAAGTGACACCGACGACACCGATCTGAAGTCGCGCTGCCAACGTATCGACACGATGCTAGGAACGATGCCAACAAAGAGGCCGCACAAGGCAAATATGGCGGCGCGCTGTCAACAGCGTGGTCGGCGCGTCGGCGGAAGTAGAATAAAAGCGGAAAAGCGTGCAGCGCCATCTGGCTGTAAATGAACTAACTACACTTTTCTGGCGGGACATTTTGAACTTTTGTTTTTTTTTTTTTCGAAATATCCGCTTTCAAAGTTGGGGTGCGGCCCTTACACGAGGGCGGCCCTTACACGAGTATATACGGTAAGCGCAGAGGCCTAAAAATCGACGCACATCACATTTCTTGGTAAGTGGTGGAAAATCTGCGACAGCCAATGTTTTGTCTGGGTCCGGCCGAATACCATCAGGGCTAACAAGGTGCGTTTAATTCGTTGTAACCAAAATGACATTTTTCTGGTTTCAGTGATAGGCCTGCCGTGCGAATTGCAGCAAACACAGATCTAAGTCGCTGCAAATGCTGCTCAAACGTTTGGGAGAAGACAACGACGTCGTCTAAGTAAACAAGGCATGCTTCCCACTTGAGACCGGAGAGCACTGTATCCATCATCCTCTGAAATGTCGCAGGGGCAGAACACAGACCGAAGGGCAGCACCTTGAATTCGTACAGACCATCAGGCGTTATGAATGCTGTTTTCTCTCAATCGCGTTCATCAACTTCAATCTGCCAGTAGCCACTGCGTAAATCCATAGAGGAGAAGTATCGGGCGCGTTGGAGGCGGTCTAGTGAGTTGTGGATGTGCGGAAGCGGACAAACGTCTTTCTTTTTGACTTTGTTGAGTTTGCGGTAATCGACGCAAAATCGGAGAGTGCCGTCCTTCTTTTTTAATAATTCGACGGGGGACGACCATGGATTGTTCGAGGGTTGGATTACGCCATCTTCGAGCATCTGCTTCACTTGAGAACGTATAGCCTCTTGTTCCTTTTGTGATACTCGGTAGGCGTGCTGACGTATGGGTCGCTCAGCATGGCCAGTGACAATGCAGTGTTTTACGGTTGGCGTTTGTTTTATCTTGGATGTAGACGCGAAACAGTCGCTAAACATGCGGAGTATACAGCGGATTTGCTCTTTCTGCGCACATGACTGCTTCGGATTGACATCGACTGCATCGGCTACCGCGGTGTCACTTTCAACGGCTGTAGAAATTGGGGCTATCGTCGTACACGCTTCATCGTCAATGGATTCGAAATGAGCGATAGTTGTTCGCTTGGCCAAATGTTGGTATGCTCCACTAAAATCGGTGACCAACAACTCAGTCATTCCACGCTTAAATTGAATTATGCCGTGGGCAATGCAGATTTGCTGAGACAAGAGCACCGAAAGGTTGGCTTCAGCGATACCACTGCTGTCATGGTCTATGTCGCCCTGTACAGTAACGAACATACTGGTGCGTGGCGGAAGTGTGACGGTGTCGTCGACAATGCGAAGCGCAGTCTTCTGCGGATTGGTATCTCTAGGCTTCGGGCCATAGTCGTCAGCAAACGTTACGAGGCAGTCTCGAAGATTTATAACAGCGCCGTGCTCACGAAGGAAATCCATGCCAAGGATAACTTTCCGGGAGCATTTGGGAAGCACAACGAAAGGAGCAATGAACGTCGACTCACAGATTTGCAGCCTTGCGGTGCATCTCCCGATTGGTGTCAAGAGATGACCACCGGCTGTCCGAAGGTTTGGTCCATGCCCCCAAGGAGTCGTGACTTTCCTGAGTTCAGCCACAAGTTTAGCGCTGATAACTGAGTAGTCAGCGCCGGTGTCGACCAGAGCAGTCACTGGATGGTTGTCGACACGAACGGCAATGTCAGCAGAAACGGGTTCGTCAGCGATGTGAGGTGTCGGCTGAAAGGAATCGTCGAAGGTCGGCGGAGGGGTCGGAGGAGGCTGTTTTGACGATAGCTTAACAGCGGTCCCACCCCCGGAGGCCGCTGATTCTAGTTTCTCTGGCGTGGACTTGTGGACCTAGCGGATCGTCCCGCAACAACATCGGCAAAAGTGGAGTATTGATTCGCGGACGTAGAGCGTCGAGGAGACGGAGAGTGTTATTGGCGTCGCTGAAGATTCGGAGACGGTAGACTTGCCAAGTATTCTGCGATGGCGCGCGGTCATTCACCATCCCTGGGCCGACGAGCGTCTGGCCGAAATCCAGGTAGGCCCATCTGTCTGTACGAGCACTCAAGGTACAAGTGACCTGGCTCACCACAGTGGTAGCATAGTGGCCGATTGTCGGAAGCGCGCCACACGCTAGATTTCCGCAAATTAGGTCGCGGATTCTCATAGTGTGGTGGGCCCAAGAAGTACTGCGGCATCTGCGGGCAAGTCGGTCGTTGGTTTTCGTAGTGCGGCAGGCCTGAGAAGTGTTGCGGCGTCGGCAGGCTGGTCGGTCATTGGTTTTCATAGCGTGGCCCGCCCGAGAAGTGCTGTGGCGTCTGCAGGCTAGTCGGTTGGGGGAAATAGCTGGCTGCTGGTACAGGAGTACGTACAGCTTCCGCATACGTTGGCAGAGGAGCTTCGGTTGGAGTTTGCGCTAATGGTCGTACCAGCTGCCGCACCTCTTCACGGACGACGTCTGTCAGAGCAGCCACTTGAGGCTGTGAAGGCACTGCGTGAAGCTTTTGCAGCTTTTGCAGCTCGTCGCGTACAATGCTACGGACTAGCTCAGCAAGGTCTCTCACGCTCGTGACATCAGGTGTTACCAAGGGTGCTGACAGACATGCAAGGTTGTCGGACCGCTCATACTGCGAAGACCGCTGTCTTAGCATTCGCTCCATTGTCGTCGCTTCACGGAGGAATTCTGCAACGGTAGCTGGTGGGTTTCGTACAAGTCCTGCAAACAGCTGCTCCTTGACACCCCGCATCAGAATGCGTACCTTTTTGTCTTCCGTCATTGCAGAATCCGCTCGACGGAACAGACGAGACATCTCCTCAACGAACATGGCCACGCTTTCATTGGGTCTTTGATTGCGAGAATTGAGGAGACGTTCGGCTTGTTCTTTCCGGTCGGCGCTACCATACGTGTTCCGCAGATGAGTGCAAAACACCGGCCAGGTTGTCAGGGCGGCCTCGTGGTTCTCGAACCAAATACGCGCCGAATCCTCCAGGTAGAAATAGACATACAGCAGTTTACGGTGCTCGTCCCACTCGTTGGCGACGGCGACTCGATCGTATTGGTCCAGCCAGTCTTCAACGTCTTCGTAGGGCTCCCCATGGAAGGGCTTTGGCGTTCGAGAGGCTGGTAGCCATGGAGCTGGCGGAGTCGCGGTCTGTTCAGTCTGGCTTGCAGTTGTCGTATATGCCATGGTTCTGGAGCGCTCCGGAAGAGGGCTGAATTTGGGTGGTAGGCCTAGTTGCCACCTACTGCGTCGAAGGTTGGCTGTTTCTACCAAGTCGTCGATGTTGGGGCCGAGATCTTCCTCGTGGTAACAGTGCATAGACTATTACCCAGTGCCTCCACCAGTGTCACGTTACAACGTAACTGTAACCTGTAGATAATAGCACACAAAGACGTCAAACTGATTCGAACAACGGCAGTATGACTATTGTTTTTCTCTGCACGCGCATCTTTGTCCTCTTCCGAACAGCGGCACATACAAGCATGCCAGCATCTGTGGAAATGATACTTTCAGAACTTGTACTAGTGGCAATATTGACCGTGCTAACAGCTGCGCGTGCGAACGGTAGCTTACTTCTTTTGCCATTAACCAATCTTTAACAAGCCGTTTAGGGTGTTTTTCTGAAAGTGCAGCCTTCTTTTTTTTTTTTTCTGCTTGCCATGTTACATCCTCAGGGTAGTCTGTTTAGCGCTGATAGTTGATGCCACAGTTCCAAATTTCTGCTTTTTATGTGCGTAGTATACAGCTTGGTTCTATTTAGAAAAACTATTGCTTATTCTTCTTCTCTTCATTCCAGTTTGCTCATCACTAACATGGGCCACATCAAGCTGACTGACTTCGGTCTGTCCAAGGTTGGACTCATGAACCGTGAGTTTTCTTTCTTTAGCGTTTCGTCAGCTTCTTACGGCAATTGTTCCTTTCAACACCGATCAAGTAGTTTGACATAGTAATGTGCTCCTAACATTCATCCACATTTTACCCTTCATTGCTATATTCTAGAGACGACCCTTCGTACTAAGTATTCAGCTACACAAGTCTTGGCTTTTCGCACGCGCATGACATGTTCATCCGCGATCGACCGGCTAGCAACTTACGTCATTGTGTTTGTTTGAAGTGGCCACCAACCTGTACGAGGGCTACCTCGACAAGGAGACCAAGCAGTTCAATGACAAGCAGGTGTACGGTACGCCTGAGTACATCGCCCCAGAGGTCATTCTGCGCCAAGGATACGGTAAGCTACTTTGGATGTTCATTTCATCTCAAATACCAAATGTGCCAGCATGCTTCTTGCCTTCCCTTTGTGTTGAAAAGAAGAGAGACAGAGCTTGCATGTTTTAGGGCGAATCTAACATTTTTTTTTTTTCCTGAAAGAGGAGCGCTGCGATAAAGCTCCTAAACTGAGCAGTTTGTCAAGGCAGTGGCTACCCGGTGAACGACATGCGGCCTTAAAGGATTGTCATACAAGATAAACTACTCTTCTTTTGGAAAAAAGATACACCCCAAAATGTGTAAACTTATTTTTAGTGTCATAGCACTAAAGAGCTCGTTTCGCAGGAATTACAGTGTTGTTGTCGGTTGCGAGCAGAACATTTCGAAAATTCCATATAATAGTCATAGCTCCAAGCCTAATCAAACCAAGGCCTTGGCATAGAAAGGTTTTCTACCACTGAGTCTCTTGAGTGCCTGGCGCTGTTGGAGAAGAATCTTGTCCAGCTGCAATGTTGTGCGAGGAGCCGCGTTTGCGCACTTCAAATTGCGTGTCCACCAGGCATTACCATCAGAATTGCATTACAAGTAGCTGGTTTGAAGGCCCACCCACTACAGAGCAGTCGAGCGTAATTAGTCTTTATAATCATCACCAATGACGTTGACAACAAAGCGGGCAGCTGAGTAAGTGCGTGTGATGCCTTACGTGTACATAGTGGGTACTTGGCTGCGCCGATTTATTAATTATGGCATAGTGGGTACCTTGAAACTGTACTTGCAGTAGCCATTCTAGTATGGTTTAAAACAGTGAAAAGTTCCTTTCCTTGTGGCACGGTTTACATGTACACAGAGTGTTGAAGCCTCGCTAGTAAGTAAGAAGGTGATGAAAAAGGGGCCTGATTATAATATTGTTGCATTGTTCTTTTTCGCATCTCTCACATCTTCCAAGTTTTTTCAGTGCCTAGCAAGCTTGATGAATGACAGTCACCTGATTCACCCACCCAATGTGTTTGACTTATAGCTTAAGTTTTCCTTTGACTGTTTTTCCTTTAAGATCAAGACCTTTCATTTGAATTCTGCTGCACTTATGGGGCAACCCAATTTGTTATTAAGGAGTTGCATTTGTGAAAGCCATGGTTGTTATTCATATCTCTTGTGCTTACATCTTTCCTTTTGTCCCTGTCTCTCTTGGCATCCATGCATTGCAGGCAAGCCCGTGGATTGGTGGTCAATGGGAATTATTTTGTATGAATTTCTAGTCGGCTGTGTGCCCTTCTTCGGGGAGACCCCCGAGGAACTCTTTGCTCACGTCATCAATGGTAAGCATCTAGAGCTGTTTCCCAGATGCTTGTCTGACAGAGACGGTTGTCGTCAAGAATTGTTTCGTGTTTACACTTTTCATTCTATTAGTTCATTAGTAGTGTTTTTGGTACTACTGTTGTCGTCACGTATGGATTTGCCGTAACTTTTGTGCAGATGTAGATAACCCCATAAGTACAACTGATCCAATACGACGAAGTGAGATGATCTAAGGCTAGCCAAGCAAAATGTTGCGCCGTTAACTTTTCAGTCGTACCTGTTAATAGTCCGCAGGGTTCCAGCCAACTTTTTCAACAAGGACAGAAAGACGTTTAATTGACTGCTTTCTTTTCTGTCCTCGTCCAAGTAGTCTGGTGGAACCCTTCTCGCGAAGCGTAACCAAAGAGCTCAGGCTAGGATAATTTTTTATCAATTGTCTCATGCAAAGCATGTCTACTCGTTTCTATTCTAGATTTAGATGCATGTTAAAGAAGCTATGGTGGCCAGAATTAATCCATAGTGCCCACGACTGCATGCCTCAATCACATCGTTAAGTACCTAGCAAAAGCCAAGAAATGTCTGAAATGTTTTACTGTAAACATTGCGAGTCACAGTGAACAACAGAAAGTACTATCACAATAAAGAGAAGTGTGAACAGCAGAATGTGTGCTTTTTCAGCACAGTCCAAGCTCGTCATGCCTTGACTGTCGCTAGGCAAATCTGTGCTTTCAGCTGGTGCCACCATAGCTCTGCAATCTTGCTACAGCCAATGCTATCACGCCACGTGTGCTTTCCAAGTGCCAGGCATGATTGACACGTGACAAGCACCCACGGTTTGATCATGCCGGCCGTAGTAAGATTGGTGCAGTATGGTGGCGCTGGCTGAACGTACGAATTTGTGTAGCAACAGTCAAGGCATGTTGGGATTGGGCTGTGCTGAAATACCACATGTTCTACTGATCGCGTTTCTTTTCATTACAATAGTACTAGTCTGCTTCATATATAGAAATTGTTGTGGTCAATTATTAAACTATCGTACAAACCGGAATATAAGTAGAGATATTTTTACTAAAGCAATGAGCTAAAGTCGCCCCTCGTCTTATATAGCAGTTTCTAGCCGATAGTGCACCGCTGCCTGGCAACATGTGGCTTGCGTGTGCATGAGAAACTGGACACGGCCATATCCGCATTCAAATCCAATAGCAGTTTTTTTTTTCCTCTTGTCTGTTTTTTTGTGTTCGTGATTTGCCTCCGATCTGTTCTAAGTTCTCACTCCGCTTGACATTATCTTTCATATTTAGTGGTGAGAATTAATGTATAAGATTACTGCTGTAATTACTGCTGCCTCTGGCATAAGCTACTGTGCAGTGATTTATATGATCTGTGCAAAATGGTTACGGCTTAACTGCTAGTTAGAAAAAGACTGGATTTGCCAAATGCTTGTCCCAGCAGCATTTCCAGTCCAACGATTTCTCATTGTACTGTACAAGTGATTCGTAGTGTACAAGCGATTTGCACTGCACAAAGTCACCCTCAATGAGATTGCCTCTCTTCCATATGATACATAAAATGTGACTCTGCGGAAAAGGGGACCATTCTCAAGATAGTCATTCAGAGACCATGCAAATCCTCAATACACGCTGTTCTGTCCATGCCATGGTTCCCTGTCATACATAGATACTGCGTTTGTTACCATTCGTAATGCCTGCTTGCCTGTCCCGACAGACGAGATTGAGTGGCCCGAGGACGAAGACTGGCCACTGCCTGAGGATGCCAGGCACCTCGTGTCCCAGCTGCTGCAGCAAAACCCGCTCGACCGTCTAGGCACGGGGGGTGCACACGAAGTCAAGGAGCATCCGTTCTTCAACGATGTCGACTGGGACTCCCTTTTACGGCAGAAGGCCGAATTTGTGCCTCAACTTGAGGACGAGGAGGACACCAGCTACTTTGATAGTGAGTTTTCCTCTTCTGGCATTGTTTTCTCTCATGTGCTACCTTTTACTGCCGAAAGACTCGTCTAATGTACAACATTGGTCAAAGGGGTCGCACAGGTGCTAGGTTTATTGTTAGTAGCATCCAGAATAAGGGCCAAACCTCATAAGCGCGAAAATGCACGCGACAGCGACGAGCAACGCTATGAGCGACGAAACAGGGCGTTCGCGGGACGTGTCGCGTGCTCGTTTTCGCGCGATTGCTCGGTTCTCCAGATTTGGAAACCGTCGCTCATCGCCCGGAAGTGCTGGGCTCAAGCAGCCAATAGCGAACAACCAGAAAAGACAAAGACTACATAGGTGCACGTGACCCTGCGCGAGTCACGTATGCGCAACGAGAAATAACGCAATCTTTACGCATTGCATATAAAAAAAGTGCTGTAAGGCACTCATAAACACTTTCCGTTTCATTACACAACAATATATCTTATTTTTAAATTGCATACCGCTCGCTACGCGGTTTTCTTGGTGCGAGTAGACGGCCTCATGCCAGCAACAGTGGAATTCGCTCGCCGAAGCCGTCGCGTGAATGAGGTTTGCCTGGGCTAGCGACTGATCGCGCGAAGCCGATCTACGTCGCGTCGCTCGTCGCTGTCGCATGCATTTTCGCGCTTATGAGGTTTGGCCCTAACTTCTAACAGATAGTGGCATTGGCTACACTCCTGGAAAAACTTTCCACATGTCGTGTGGAGGTTTGTTGGTTTGAGTTCGGCTCGTGGCAAGCTGTCTCATTTGTTACACCTTCTATTCCCTTAATGACATGCTTTGGTCGTAAATAACATTTACACACAAAGTAAAGGAATACTCAACTACGAAGCACAAGCATTGAGTGTTCCTTTACTTTGTGCGTGTTATTTGCAGCTAAAACATGCCATTAAGCAAGTACCAACTTGGCCAACAATCAGTATAGCATCCCCTTTTTAATTACTGCTACACTCCTGATCAAAGAAGACTTGGATCCCCTTGCACTTTCTCTGCCTTTTGGTTCATTTCATTTTGTGATTGTCACCGTTCATTCTCGCAAGCAAGAGTCTTGTTCTTGCCTGTTGCAATCTTCTCTTTCAGTTCTGTAAGTACAGTTGAATCTCGATGATACAGTTCGGTTGATGCGAATTTCGCGATATAAATTTTAAGGTTGTTGGTGGACTACATCATATAAAATACTCCGTGATTCGGTGTTATAGGAATGATTTCCCCAGTCACCGCGGATGATACGAACGCGCCATTGACTGCTGAATGCAAGCGGCGCAACACAGCTTGTCTGTGGGACCAGGCCCGTTCACACTTGGCCTCGAAGGGAGTGAATGTGGCAAACTTCACAGAAATTTTCCTCGATTCGTTGCCTAAGCGGCCGTAAAACCACATTGCGAGGCTGACACCAAAAAAAATCAGTCCTAGACCAATTTTTCTGCTACGCGATAGCCGATCGCCTTTTCGCTTCATGGCTTTGGCTGCACTAGCTTTCAAACCATGTGATGTAAACAACCAGCAGCTAATTCAACGTGGCGGAAAAGGCGTCGGTGGTACCAGCGCAATTGCGAGTTACCCATGCTGCACATCAAAGCTCGCAGCCTTGAGAAGGACGCGTTCATTGAAAGCCTGATTTGGATTATGATCCCTGAGAACATTGAAAGTAGAAGAAGGTGCAGCACCAGTAAGTCTGTAAAGGTGAAAACTGTTTCTTTTCAGTGCTTTGCATGGATAACTAGAACTGGGTAAAGATTTAATTGCTCAAAAAAAAAAAAAAAAACTAAAATGGAATGAACTCTCAAGCGGCGACGGCGGCGGTGGCATGCACAAGGGGCAGAACGAATGTGAGCATTTTGACTGGTGCCGACGTGGTTTTCTAGCCGCTCTGGCGTTGTAGCTTGAATTTTGTCATGTCGACTTCGTGGCGCGGTTTTCCAGCTAAGCAGCAAAGCGAATGCCCTTTTAAGCGCCAGCAGCATGAGTGAGAAAGCCACGGCACTTTATCGAGAGATGGTGAATGCAGGAAAGTTCGAAAGAACATACCCACGTACATTTTTCAGCAAAAAGTAGTGGACCCCAATAAAGTTCTTGTTAATCTTCATGATCAGTCTCAACTAGTTTTGTTTCAATCGAATTCAGGATGATAAGAGTGTTTTGTGTGCTCCCCTTGAATTCGTATCATCGGGATTCTACTGCATTGCTAGAAAGGAAGTGAAATGCACTCATTCTCGTTATCTCTGAGACGAGGCGGCGTCTTGTCTGCACAGCGCGGACGGACCGGTACCAGCATGACGACTCGGAAGACCATGACGAAGGCGAGGAGGTCACCTTCTCATCGTTCTCGTCGTGCTCGCCGCGCTACCGGAAGGTCTACTCTCGCATTGAGAAAGAGCTCGAGGAAGAGAACTTGCTCAGGGTGAGGGGGTAGCGTTTTATCTGTGCACACGCAATGTTCCATTTCAATCTCGACATGAAGCAGTGCGGAAGCTTTTGAAGTACTGCAGTTGAGGAATGTGTCACTGAACATTTCTCACAATGAACTGGCTCCTGATCTTCAACGTCTTTCAGCAGATAACTCCTTGGTATCACAGAGCGTTTTGCCAAACTGGTGGGTTTACTTGAGGAAAATAGATGTTGCGCTACAAGGACAGTGAAAAGAGAAGTCACAAAGTGACAGACATCAGTGCAGACCAACTGTGTTCACTTGTGTGAGACTGGTACCCTGAATTTTCATGGTAAAAGGAATGTGAAAAACAAACTTTCGTGCAATCTGTTGCATTCATGCAATGACTGTCTCGCAATGACGACAGAAGCAAACAAACATTGTAGGCACTAGTATGAAAGAATGATCAGATGTGGAACTGTAGTTGGCGCTGTCTTCAGTTTTTGATGTATTGACGTAATTTTGAAATTTGACATCAGACTCGACCTAAACAGTTTGTAGTGGCATGATGTCCTAATCTCAAGCAATAGCACATACCAGCTGCTGTAATGAAAGCTTTGATGGTGCCTTTCAATCCCTGATCACAGTACGATTCTTGCCATGTACACTGAATCTTGCCGCTGTTTTGCTGTCCGATACAGGTAGTTGAAGCCATGCAATAAGTGCGATTTTGTATTTGCGTGGAGTTATTGGCTCGTTTTCTATGTAACAGTTGCTTCACATATTCTGAACGCAATTACGATGACAAAAACAGCATCAAATTATGTAGTACAAGCCCATTTCTTGCTGCCATGTAGCAGGCTTTCCTTTGTGTGCAAAGGAATGCAGAAAATGTTAAGTTTAAAATGGTACCAAATTTTTTTTATGCCCCTTTTCCAAGTCTGTTGCATGTCTTGCTTGTACTCAGGACTTTAGAAATATGTGTGTTGTTCATGTTGCCCTTTCTAAGTGAAAGTGAGACCTGCAACAATCCACCAATTTCGTTTCCATGCAGCATGTGTGTGAGGAAAGCCATCGCCGCTCGCTCAGCCGCACGGATTCAGCTCCATCGGACTCCAGCGGAGATTCCCTGCAGCTCCGCATCCCGGCACCCGGACCAGGGGATGCCTCCACACGGCGCCAGTCTGGCTCGTCGCCTGAGCTGTGAGTACTTCTTGGCCATTTTTCATGACTCCCAAAAAAAGATAATGCTCTACAACTTGGAAAATGAAAGCTCATGATTGGAAACCATGCATTGAAGTGTATACAAGAATGTATGTACACCAAACGGAAATTTTCTGCATGAAACTGCTGCATAAATGAGACAACTACTTCTAATACGATTAGTTTCATAGTTGAATTCTGCATGCTTCTTCCTTTCTCAGTAAACAGAACTCCTGCTAAACAGAACATATTTTCCAGGTATTTTCAGGTTTCGTCTAACGAAAGAGAGTCTGCTGTGTCGATATCTAGGACAAGTACTTGTAGGAGAGCCTTATCACCTAAAGAAAATTCACAGAAGAATCGGTTTGAATGTATTTGGCAGGCACTGCCAAGTATTGACAGAAAATCTGCAGCTGTTATTAAAGTGAAAAGTATACAATCACTGCATGCTGCTGGTTCTAACATAAGGGACTGAAATATGGAGGATAACCAAGCAACTACTATAAAGAAAGTTGAGTATGCAATGCGCAATGGAAAGAAATATGACAGATGTAGCTTTAAGTGTGGGTGGCAGAATGGGTCAGGGAATGAAATGTGGTAGCAGATATCCCAGTGGACATCAAGCGAAAAAAACAAAATGGACCTGCAATGTTCATGTAATGCATGGATCAGACAACCGGTGGACAGTATGGGCAATAGAATGGTTACCAAAGAATGGGAAATCCAGTCGAGGAAGGCAGAGAGTTGGATGGAGTGCTCACGAAATTAAGCAGTTCGTAGAGAAAGTTGAATCGACTTGTACAAGGCAGGCTTAACAGGAGATCATTGAGAGTGATATGCGTTGTGCAGTGAGCACAAGCAGGCTGAAAATGAGGATGATTATGTCAGCCAGCACCACGTTTCTGTGTGGGTTAGCAACGTCAACCTCGTAAAACAATTTTTTTTTTTCGCCTGCTGCAGTCCACCGCCGGGCGGGCGCCCTCCACTGACGAGCACTCCTGAGTCATCGCAGACGGAGTCGGATGAGGTGTCCCCCCAGGTGCAGCGGAGAAGACGACCAGGCATCGCCGACTTGCCTCGGTTCGCCCTCTCCGTTGACCAGGAGGACACGTCACGCCGATCCCAGCATCGCTTGTCAGCGCCCCTGCCACTGCCACTGCCCTCCCTTGGCACCGCGGCATGCTCGTCCGCTTCTGTCACCGCACCGACCTCACCGGCAGTCGCCACCAGTGCGGTGAGTCACCAGGCATATCCTCCTCCTCGGACCTCAGTCAGGTCCTTGCATGCATGTTTAGAATGATTGAAATTTACAAAAGTTTATAAAGATGCGTGTTACTGGTGCACGAGAAGAAATGAAACAAATTCCTGTCCAGTTTGCATACCCCCCCCCCTCTTGAACATCCCTTGACGCATTTCAATTTCGTAAAATGTGCAGCCTAGTCTGGACCTGTGTTCGTCCCTTCTAGTACATTTTCCTCTGCATTGTTCATTGACATCAAAAGCATTGTTGTTCATTGACATCAAAAGCATTGTTGTTCATTGACATCAAAAGCATTGTCGTTACATTTATACCATTGTATAAATGTAATGAAAGGAAAACAGAAAGGAAACAAAGGTAAACTTCTTGCCTCATTCCAGCAAAGATATTGAAATAACTGCTCAAACAAATTATTTCAAGTAGAGACGGCAAACTTTCAATTCCTAATGTGAATGCAATAGACTCTCACTTTAAGTGGAATCGGAAGGGACCAAGAAAATGTTTTCCATTTAACAGGAGTTTCATTCACTTGAATCTAAACAGGGGTGCTGAATACAAGTGTAAAACGAATGATGTTAGAGGCAGTTATTCCATTTAAGAGATTTCGGTTTACTGAGAGTCTACTTAGGCTCCGTTCGAGTCACCTGTGCCTGTCAGAACAGGTTTACGGCGGTGCACAAATTGTGCAGTGCAAGGTCAGCGGGGCAGGCACAGTGCGACACCAGAAACAAATGACAAGGTGCCGACCTTATTTCGGTTTTCTTAGTTTACGCCATCCACTAACATTGACCACGATGGCAAACCGCACATGTGGACACTTTACAAGGCACAAACATCTTGCCGCGTTAGTAGGTAGAGCCGGGTATGGCGCATATGCCTAAATGCTGTGTCGTCTGCTCAGCTGCGTTTGCATGCCCGCGACTGCACCAAGCCGGCACCGTCAGCGTAAAAGGTGCAGGAAAATTCTCCGCCTTTTGAAATGAATGGCATGGTTCAGAAGTTGTCAATGCTGCACCACTGAAACGAATGGCAAGGTGCAGCATCTCGTGAGCTGGTTCAGGTGGTGCAGGCGAATGGAACGGACCCTTAGTGTTCACATTAGCAGTGACATGCTGTTCAAGGTTAGAATGCGAACCACCTAGTACAACTCTCTTGTACGGAACGACAGGCACACCATTGTTCTGGGAACAGAGCTTTTTCTTTTATTGTTGGATTATTACTGAATCATAATAACCAAGTGTGCAAGACAGGACATCACATATAATTGGTGCCTGCCTGAAAAGCAGTGTACAAAACTAATCTATGATTTCTCTCTGCAGGCCGAGCCACGGGAGCTTTCTCCCGTCGCGGAAAAAACGGCGCGAACCAACAAGGGCCAACGCGCTGCCGAGCCCTTTAACCCCAGTGACACCAGCGGAGGGAGCACCAACAGTAGCGGTGCCAGCATCGCCACCAGCAGCACCATCGTGGCAACGGGAACCAAATCAGCGGAGAAGGCAGCAGCCGGCGGCTCGCCACGATCGTCACCCAAACTGGCGGCCACACCCCCCATGCCGACGCCGTCGCCACCTTTCAAGCTGCGCTCGCGCTCGGTCATCAAGTCTGCGTCTGCATCGGGCCTTTCGCTCATCATCCCCTCCGGTGAGGGATGGTTCCGTCTGCATTTGCGTTAGTTTTAATGCAGTGTGCAATTCGCGGTAGTTCACTGTGAAAAGGAAGGTTGGCTTGGTCCAAGTGAACATTTAGTGGCCCATGATGCTTTCGGTTAAATTTATGGGCACACTGAAGATAAAAATGAATTTTCCTATGTTAGCGAATTGCAATTTCGCAATGCTGAAAGCACTAGTCTTAGCGTGATAACACTCTTGGTAAGCGAAAAAAAAAGTGTTCAAAAAGTAAAGTACTGGTGTGAGGTCAGGCGCTGTGACAATATCTACTAGTGGTAAGTAATTGTCGGTCACTAAAGAATATGTACGCTGGGTTTGAAGGGGCACAAAGTTTTAACGTACCAAGTTTTAGAAATTTTGGTTGAACCAACGTGGCCAAAATATGCAACAATGATTTGTAATCTGGATTTCACACTGATATTTAAGCACTAAAGTTTCCGCACGAAATTCAGACTTGTGATTGCAAAATTGATGTCAATAGAGCTCTGAAAAAGTTAGTTCATTAAGAGGAATTCAAAGAAAGATAAATCATGCGGTTGCCAGCCTACACCTCCTGTGGCGCCCTTATTCCCCATTTCAACGAGGAAGTCCACAGCGTCATGCGGGGTCTCATTTACCACGCTCGCAGAGTTCTTCCCCCCCCCCCCCATTTAACAGGTAGAGAAGCCTGGAAAGAGGGGGACAGAATGTTTAGATTCTGTGGCATCATTCAATTCTACCAAAAGTTAAGTTGAAGGTTTTCTATACCGAGCTCCAAATCGGACAGTTCTCAGGTGTTTGACATGAGGTAACTTCTCGACAGAACATTGCCCGATCCAGTGCACCAAAATCGCATCTACCCCGAGCTATACTCAAACTACAGTTGAATCTCATTAATTCAAACATGCTTAATTCGAACTTCCTATTAATTCGAACTCGCGATGAGGTCCCGTCAAAGCTATGTGTATTCCAATGGGCGAAAACGCCTGGTAATTGCCACGCTTCCCCCTTTGCTGTCCCTGCCGCGTGACCCTTCTCCTTTCAACAACGCACATGAGGAGAGCACAAAAAAAAAAAAAAAAAAAAGCTGCTGTGGAGGGTTGGTTTGTTCCTTCCTCCATGGTTTTCTCTAAAATGCCGATCTGCTTCTCTCCACGTGGAGGCTCCTCTTTTTTGTCAGGTGCTGGCCACGCTGCGACTGCGTAGCGGAGACGCTACGCAGTCGTTGTTGTCATCGTCTTTAGATAGTGTCGGCGCTAGACACCGCGTGCAACTTCTCTTGCCAGGAGAATGCTGGAGCCAAAGTAGAAATGCTTTGCAAACTGCGTGCGAAATTTATTGACTCGCTGCAAGGCAAACGTGCAGACGTGCACCACCGATTACATCAATCAATGACGGATGCCCTATGATTTGTGAATAAATGTAAGTTTTCTGAAACTTCCTCCTTGTGTGTTAGCTCAGTGCACATGTGCCATGTGCACGGAGAGCCCTTTGTTTATTTAGTTTTCATCAATTCGAACTTCTTTTAATTCGAACAAATTTTTGGGCCCCTTCGAGTTGAATTATCGAGGTTTGACTGCATGTAGCATGAAGCACGCCACCCTAGAACACATACGTGAGATGTAAATGTAGTCTCCTCAGAACTGCTTGGGGTGCAATGAAAGCCGCACTGATCAGACCAGATGGGCAGGATCAAATATGGGCTATCCAGCAAGCACGAGAGGTGGCAGGGGGACGGGGATCTCTACTGCCGCTGTTGTGGCCTAGGCCGAGGCCTCAATCCATTGGTTTAGTAAAGTTGCTCACTCTCACTTGCTCACACAGCTCACATGACCAGAGGAGGAAGTGAATAAAAAATAAAAATGAAATGATGATGATGGTAAGCAATTAGTGGTGGGGATAATTATACTTAAAATGATGATGATGCTAAATGAGCATGATGATCATTGATCCCAGTGCTCAAGATGATGATGCTCGATCACATGCACTCGAGCACTTACAGCTTTGCTGTTTGAGGGTTTTCAGAAAAGGCCAGGGAACTGGCTATAGTAATATTTTTTTTCTTCCTTCTCTGTGTGCAGATGACCTCAGCGCAGCGGCTAGCGACCTGTCGAGTGGCATGCACTCCGGGGTGCTCGGCTCGCCCGGCGGCTCAAGCACGAGCTCGCGTGACACATCGCCAAGCCGGGAACTGAGTCCACTGGTGGCGCAGCTCAAGCCCCCCATCATCATCCAGAGGGGTCCACGGGGTTTTGGATTCACCATTCGGGCCATCCGGGTCTACTACGGAGACTCGGACGTCTACACCGTCCAGCATCTTGTCATGGTTGGTGCACAGAGCTTGCCTTCTTGCCACGTTCGATCTTGCTTATGACCAACTGTGGTTTTAAAAGAGAACACTTTACCTTGGGCACTTGTAATGGTAAGAGCAGTCGTTCCACAAACAAACTTTGTTGAGGCACACTGTGTAGCAAAAAACAGCGATGACTATTCAGCGTAAACCTCTCAAATACGTTACTAATTTGTCTAATACATCATACAGTCGAACCCTTTTATAAGGGGCTCGAGCCTGAGAAGAGTTCTTGTCTCTTGTATGAGGTGTTCCTTATAAGCAGCATCCCATGTTCTCATTTTTTGATTCACCACTATTTTGATGTAGGACACATTGGTGTCTCTTACGCGCAGTTGTCTGTTACATTAGGGCCTCTTAAGGGTGGGCCCTATTGCTCCAGTCTTTATGAAGCACCATAATGAGGTAAAAGAAATGAAATGCCTAAATTCGGTGCAACATGCTCAGTGCTTCAGAGTAGTTTATCTATTAGTGCTGATTTTCAGTTGTCCGGGAAAAAAAAAAAAAAAAAAAAAGACTTGCCTTTTTCAATCAAGGTTCTTCTTCGAACAGCTTATTACATATACAAAATCGCATTCATGTTGGCTCGGCAACTTTTACAAGCTAAAAGCACGACAGCGTTCTGAGTGGGGTCAAAGCTCAGCCCCATGTAAAGTCTTCTCCTAAAAGGGCCCTGCAGCACTTTTCCAAGTAGCCATGGAATGAATTCACGAAAGGAGCTGATTGCCTCACAAATTCACCGCTGCAAAAATTTTCAGAATCCGTCCAGTATATGAGCGGAGTTGCAAAGATTTGTTGCACGCAGCAATTGCATTCTTTTTTCTCTCACCCTGAGGAAAGCAGTAGGAGCTAAGCAGGGAAGGATGACAGGGGGAAGAAAATACGTCCCGGTAGCCTCTAGGGCTTGAAAACTTTTTTCTTTCTTTCTCTTTTTTTTTTTCTTTGAATGTGCGGCCTTTCAGTGTGATCGCGCGTGCAACGTGGACAAGTCGTAGACTCTCGTGGCGACCCCGGCCACGACTGAGCACGCCATGCTCAAATTAGCCAATGGCTGAACCGAGAGAAGAGAAAGCAATTTTTAGCTGCCTTCGAGAATTTGCTGCAAGTTATAGACCGTATGCTTCGCTGTAACATTTGACTCGCATGTTCTTGGGAGCCTCAAATACCGATCGGTGGCATTTGCTGACCATGCCCAAAAAGTGTTGCAGGACCCCTTTAAATTTCTATGACAGAAAACCCAGTTCTGACGCACATTTCATTACACTGTTTATTCTGTCACTACTAACCACACGATTCCTCACCTTTTTTTTGCCACCGTGTAATCGCAGGCGGTGGAGAACAACAGCCCGGCATTCGAGGCGGGACTGCGGCCCGGCGACCTCATCACGCACATCAACGGCGAGGCGGTGCAGGGTCTTCTGCATCCGCAGGTCTTGCAGCTGATCCTGGCCGGCGGCAGCCGCATCAACATCCGCACCACGCCCCTAGAGAGCACCTCCATTCGCACGGGTGGTCGCAGGCGCAACCCCACAACCAGCCGGCTCGCCCGGCGAAACACGCGTCAACGACGCGTCTCCCAGGTACCCAGTTTCCTAATAACGGGCTGTCATCATGTAGCATCTGCACTCGAACCTCGATGAAACAAACCTGGATTCAATGAAATATTGGTTGTAATGAAGTTCATGATGAATAGTCTTGCAATAAATAGACCTTTATAACGTGTTTTTGGATATAGAAAACTTAATCTCGTGTAAAATGCAAATTTGTTACAATGAGGTATGAGTGTACTTAGCATCTGTGTTCCTTTGTCTTTGCGTCTTTATGGCATCACTTGCCAACAAGTCGGCCACTATCTCTCAGATATTGCAAACCAGCGCAGCAGAAGTTCGCAATGCTCATGCCAGAAAGAAGTTGTTATCTGCCTGTTTGGTGGCTATAGCTCCATGTTCCATCGAGACCCTCCACAATTATGGTGTTTGATTGCTGACCTAAAGGTCGCGTGAACTAATTCCTACTGCGGCAGCTGCACTTTGATAGAGGCGAAAGGCAAGAGGTTTGCGTAACTTAAATTTACATTCGTGTACAGAGCGCAAGCCGGTCGAAATTTCCAGGCCCCTCTACTACAATGTCCGTCATAATCATATTGGGGTTTAGGACACGAAATCCCAACAGTTATTATTTATTTTATGTTGCTTTGAGTTGTCTATTCGAATCGAATCTATTTATTTGTGTCGATAAAACAGCAAGAATTGCAAGATGTATATGCAGCACGGCCGAAAAATTTTGTACAGTCGACGTCAGATTTTTCGGAGGCGTGAAATCACGGACATACCTGATTTCCTGTACTCATCTGTGGCATCGTCAAGTTCCCCATAGAGTCAGTGTATTAAAAAGTGCAAAATTTCAGACGTTTGTAGCTTTCAGCATCTGATTTTCCGGAATTTTTATTCCTAACCGCAGACCCTGATGCCACCATTTTATTGCTTACGTACGGCGCCACGGCTGCCGTACCCTCGACACCGCAGATGTCGCAATCTAGGGCACGCCAATCCATTGCCAGCCGTAGCTGAAGCGCATGAATAATGCTCCCACTTAGTCAAACCTGTGGCCATAGCCGCATCGTGCTATGCTGCCTGTGCTCCGACAGTTGCAAAAGCTGCGCTGTTGACCTATGGTCTGCCGTCGACATGCAAGCAGACTTGTGGAAGGCAGTTAGACAACAGATTCTCCGGAACTGTTTTCCCCACATGAGCTCCATACTCGACGCTGAGACGGCTGTCTCGCCCGGAGTGGACAGCATGTGCGACGAACTTCCACTCGCAAACGTTACCTTTGATCGATCTGCTTGCTGCCGCTTTCAATTCCAGCCAGGATACCTTTCGAGGGCTTTGCCGATGCTGACAAAAACCTCGAGCTGTGTGCGAAATTGACTGATGATGAAATAATTTGTCAAGTTAGGAATGATTCAGACGACACAGAGATTGAAGAGGTAGGGCCTACACAGCCAACGAGCTCGGAGTTGACTTGGAGTTGAGCACTGGTATTGTCATCGATGTACAGCGAAAGCATGACGTTAGCTAAAATTGAGGTAGACATTATCGCGGGAAAGTGGAATAGTGTGCGAATGAAAATAAACAATTTTTTTTTTCTTTCTTTTCACCACAGTTGTTTACAAACGTGGTAGTGGCCATCGAATTTTTTTCTTTCTTTTTTTTCGTTTTTTTTTAATATAAACAGTTCTTTTCAGAGCCACTCAAACGATGCATTTGCTGAATTGCAATGAGAATCCTGTACTCCTGACGTGAGCCTCTCCATCAGCAAAAAATACCTATTTAAACTGTGTTTTCACTTGAATTCGTTTTTCCGGACTGCCTGATTTTCCGGATGTTTTCGCGGTCTTTGAGGGTCTGGGAAATCAGACGTCAACTGTAACACGCTTTGAATTTTATTTTATATATTTGCATCTTTCAGCAGAGGCATTACTGAAATTGTGTTTATTGGTCATTTTTTATGTGAAACTGGTATTTTTGCTTTTCTCTTTGTCCCATCTTATCTAATGAAAAATTGTCTCTGGACGAATTACGCCACACAATCTTTGCCCACCACAAGTAGGGTGCGAAGATTTTTAATATCTCTAAAATGATAAGATTGTGGCCTGTCCCAATCTAATATGACAAACAGCTGTCAAACAGTTTCCGGAGACTGACAGCATCAGCGATCAGCAGCGATTCATAAATCTTTTGAATCGCTCAAGCATGCTCTGGAAAAGGCAGGGGACAATATTCTTTCGCTATACGTCACGGCAATTCAGAAAAAAAAAATTCAGAAAAGTCTTCAAGCACATATGAGAGCACAAGGTGGATGTTTTTGGAACTAAAATTGGAGTTCTTGCGCAGACTTGAATGGCCTTTCAAACAAAAGGACCCATTTTTTTACTTTTTCTATTTGTTGAAGAGCTACAGCTCCTTTTTTGCAATGCTGTATTTTTCAGTCACCCCATATGTACAAAGAGGTTTTGTAGTTAGAAACTGAATTGGGTTTGCCTGTTCATGACAACAAGAATCGGGAAATCAGTTTGCCGACAAATTTGCCGTCGCTTTGTCATTTGCTAGCCTTCTGATGAGCTAGTTTAAAAATCTGTATGGCTAGCTTTCTCAGAAATCCGCATGGAACTTTTTGACAGTGAAGCCGTTAGTAAAATTATGGAAGCAGCTGTCTGGAGAACACCTCATTGTGTCGTTGCCATAACAACCGCCACACCTGCGCACCACTTCGCTATCGTGACGTCACTCCAGGCCGCAGATGTGTCGAAGCCACCCCGCCACCGAGCTGACGCAGGAGCCGCTGCATCTGACCACTGGGATAGCTGGGGCGACGTCGGGCCAAGCTGCACATGTGCCACAAAGCAGCTGTGTAGAGACTGCACCAAGTTTAAAATTGGTGTCGCCTGTAGTAACCGTTTACAAAATAGCATATAAAAAACTATCGACACAAACCATCAGGGAAGAATAGGCTAAGAGAAAGAGCATCAACTCGCAACTAAGTCTGTTCGTGCAAAACACCACCGCAATATATTTACTATGCCACACATGCGCGATAACGCACCATTACGTTGTATCGCACAATTACACTGCCAAAACACATGCCAGTTTAGAAACCTACTAGCCCAACTAGCCCGACAACCAATCTTACTAAGGGAATAAAATATGTCGTAGAGTTACTGCCCATGAATATATTATTGAAATTGCTATAGAAGAGCTACTCTGAAGCAGTTCTGGCCATGGGCTGTTAGAGGTAGGTCCGTACACCCGGCTGCTTATCATGAACACGACCTGCTTCACTGTTTCAAGTCTTGTGCGGCCACTGCAAGCGCCTTTGCTTTTTCTTTCTCTTGCTACAGATGGGCAGATGGCAATTTTTTTTTTCCTTACAAATATAGCATGTTGATAAACCTTGCATTTTCGGCGAGGTTGTCCCATTTGCAACACGCTGGAAGACGCATGGCAAACGAGCACTTACTGTTGAACCATGTGCAATATTATCCAGTTGCATTGCACTGAACTAAATTGACAGTAAACCATTGTATCGGGCCAGTTGGTATGAATCCATCTTGGTAGGAAGCGCAGCTATTATTACACAGAACACCCAACACAAGCGCTTGTTTTGTGTGTTCCGTGTAATAGCTTGTGTCGTCTGCTCTGTGTGATAGTTGCTGCGCTTCCTACCATGATAAATTGACAGATCATGTGTATCGGGAAACGTTCTATTTCATGCAGCTCTTAGATGTGGCAGAAAGCCATTTGTTGGTTTATTGGTTAAATGCCTCTCTGTATGCCATGTACAATCTATTTCTATTGCTTGCGTGTTTTTTTTTCTTTACGATTATTACAAGCTTGAAAAAAAATTTTATTTATATATGTACACCTAGCAAAATGCAGTACAGGAAAATTATTTGAGATTAGAAATTTTGGCTTATTTAATAAGCATTGAAAGTAGGCATACCTTTTCTAAATTATACTAATAAGTTTTATAAGTTGTAAAAGTTGGTGCTATTAACACAGACTGGTGTCAGAAAAGCTTTCCAAACACAAAAATGTTATTCTTTTATTGTCTGCCCTTTTCTTTTACAGATGCGGTTTAGGTATTACGTCTCTTCGAAACCAGATGGCAACCTTTGCTAGACTGTTCAGTGTGTTTTTCGTTACTACCACCGTTGCTTGGTACACTCGGTAATGCACACAAAGCAGATTCGTAGCAACGCACATCGTAGTCTCTCGTTAAATTTTTCCGTATTCACTCGATGCTAATAGACCCTTAATTGAAAAGTACGCTACTCCTTCTTACAACCAAGAAAGGACATTAGTTGAAATCAATCTTCACGTTTATTACATATCATTTTGCTTTCACTAGTGTTGTCTGTTAGCTTAGTGCTGTTCAAGCACAGATATAAAGAATTGAACTTAGCTTGTAAATTTATAACATCCACGTCATGTACAAAACATAGTGATGTCTTTTGTAACGTTTAGACAATTTCAGTGAACTTAAAAAAATGGCAAAGGAGGCACCCAGTTTCATGTTTCAAGTTTGCTGCGATTTAATTTTGATCAATTTTTGCCAAAGATAAGGGGACACACTAGAATCGGGTGATCAGGCAGTGCTGTTATTGAGACACTCGGGTGTAACTCGAAGCAAGGTCTATATGGTCATTCGACAAATGAGGAGACTTGCTGTTCAGCTTTAACCCATTTTCCAAAGCATTTCTTTTATCAGTTTCTAACAAGCCTGCCTTCAGGCTCTGGGTCACCTGTGAGGTGAGCTTGTTTTGTATGTGCAACCATTCTTCGTTCTCAAGTTCTGCGGTGAATAGCTGTTCAACGTTCGTGACACGTTTTTATTTTTCAATTTGAGCACGCCTGACAGGTGTCTCAGCCTGAATCATAAGATAACTGCATATGTATGCTTGTGAATACAGAAAATTGCTATGCATAATTACGAGCGACTACAATACTAGCATAGGCTTACATATCACTGTGCATAATTCTTCACAATTGCACACAACTGCAAGAATTTCGCAATACTGCTCGGCGTTTTAAGGAACTGCCAATTATTTCCCGTTATTGTGCACACTGGCAGAGACTTGCTCTAGATTGCACAGAATTTGGCTGTAAGCATGTTCAAAAAAAAAAAAGACTGTTCACAGATTATTTTGTTCACAGATTATTTTCTGTCTATTTTTGGCTTCTTCAGTTCTGTGCTTAATTGCTATTCAACAACCTTAGTGAATAATCTTATTCTTTTTTTTAACCGAATATTGCTAGCCAGAAGTGTGATCTAAGTAATTGTAAGCTCATTAAGCTGTATTTCTGAAGTTAGCAACACTTGTAAGAAGGCCAGCCAGACGTGCTTTTTCAGGATTGAATGAGCAGCTGTCATGATATCGTTGCAACATTCGAACATCACATGCCCTAAATTAAGACATACACCATTAACAAATGGCATATTAGATACATAACTGGTTGCATCAGGGAGCTTTGATGGCCACCGCCAGCTACAGTCCTGTCGGCCCAAGAAAGAGAAGCATATTCCGGCAGGTGACTCGCTTCGTGCAGCGAATGAGTTAACAAAATGCAAGCCAGGCATGAAGGGTCAACATAGCTCAATGTTTTTCACAAGCGCTTGTGCAAGACGTGCCCTTGAAAGCATTGTTGGGTAGCTTTGGCAACCTTTAGAATCTCGCTAAACGATGCATTTTGCGGTAGTTACTTGCTGAATAGAAGTGTAGTTTTGCTTGACGGTAGCTGTATGCAGCATGTGGAAGTCGTGGGTATCAGCTGAGGTAGTGCACTACTGTGACGTTACTTGTTTCATTCTATGTTGCATAATTGAGGGAGCCATGTGCGAATAATTTTGTTTGGCAAAAGTGCTGACTCATTACAAAGCAATTTAATTTAATACAGGCAGTGCACGGCCAAACACCGTGTTAATATGTGTTCACATGTCTGCTTCTTATTGAATAAGTTAGAAGTGGGCATTTCTGTAGCAGATATTTGATAGCAGTGAAATATTTGTGGCATTGTTCACTGCCATAGCAAAGTGAGGTGAGTATAAGCTATTCTAAAGAAATGTCGATGTTGTGTTACTTTTTCATAGCTGATAAAATTGCTTTTTTTCCATATCATTACTCTGACAGATGTGGTAACTTTCGCAGTATAAAAGCTGCACAAGACTGCGAGGCATACTTTTTTTTTATCAATTTGAGACAAAACATGCAACTATGCTGCCCCTGCACGTTGGTAAAACTAAAATGCTCAATGAACAAACATGCTTTCGTCGACTACCATTGGCAAAAGCGAACTAGAGCCGCTGATGCAGGAAAAGACGTCGCTGATGAGAGCAGTTAGCGTCAACCGTCGGTGTTTTTAGAATTAGGACTTTGTCAATTAATAAACTCGTGGTATTCTGAAACCTTTCTCAAGCTGGGGCTTAACTCGCTGCAGCAAAGTGCCAATAAAGGGGGCATTTGTTCTTTGATGGTCAGCATGTTTGAAAAAGTTCCCTTTGTTAATGGTTGCACATTCACTAACTTGTTCGGTGCACAAATACTCAGTTGACTGACGATTAAACTCCAATCAAAGTTAGCACTCTGTCCCATTCATGCCCTTATTTTCTCGTGCTAGGTGCCTTCAGTTTGTTTCATCTTTCAAAAGTTCAACTAGCCCAAGCTTACTCATGAAGTTCTGCTATGCCAGAATTATTCATACCTTGCTACCTCACTCATGCAAAGTAGCACATGGGGTGGATCTCGTGCCTGGCATCTTGAGTGGTTGGCTTAATGTAGTACAGATCACTGGCGTGGCTGCATAGCTAAGTTGCAGCCTTACCTTTACTAACATGTGTGGCCATTTTTCTTTTTGTTGCAGGGACCTGCATCCACACTGGTTAGCAAGCTCCAGGGTTCACCGCCCGCCATCGGCTCGAAGCCGGTTGACAAAAAACGCCGCGCGTCGCTTCTCCGCCGATTGAGCAATAAGCGTGCCAGTGCGGAGATCCAGCAGCTGGTGAGTGGGGGCGTGGCAACTCCAACTGGACTGGCTCCGAGCCGAAGCTTTCAGTCCCTCGCCGACCCTGGCAGCGCATCGCCGCCGTCACGGAGCAGCGGCATTGTAGTCAACTTCAGTAAAGAAAGGTCATCGTCAGACTCGTCGCACTCGACGAGCAATTCCTCGCCAAGCAGCTCGCCCAGTTCGAGCGTGCCAAACTCTCCTGCCGGAAGTGGAGCAATACCACCCGGGGTCGCAAGCGGATCGGTGGCGACTGCAGTCGTGTCTGTTCAGGCGCACTTCCAGCGGCCTAGCTCGCTGCATGGGCTCAAGCACAAGTTGGCCCAGACCTTCCGGTCGCCGCGTCGGAAGTCTGTCGGTCACATTCCACTCTCACCACTGGCTCGCACCCCGTCTCCTTCGCCACTGCCGGTGATCAGTCCAACTCGGTCACCGTCCCCACTAGCCTTCCCACCAGGACAGGCTCCTCCGGCTCACCACCCCCATCATCCGCATCATCACCACACACATCACCCGGCGTCCGTAGTGGCGGCCCAGTCGCCTCAGGTATTCACGGCAGGCCGGAAAGCATCGCCTCCGACACTCGTGCCCGCAGCGGCCACCGTAACCTCGTCGGCACGGAAGTCGCTGATGAGGCCCAAGAGTGCAGAGCCCGGCTCCCCCTTGTTGAGGCGAGCCCTCTCGCCAGACCGCCTCCATCCAAAGTCGGCGGAATCCAAACCACGACGAGAATCTTTCTGCACGCATGCGTCACCACTGGCCCTGACATCGACACCGTCCACGTCACAAGGGTCACCTCCACGAGTGGTGTCTACTAAAACAGGCAGCTTTCTGTCACGAAGCACACTCACACTGTCGCCAGCTGGAGGCACCCGAATTCCAAAGTCAGCGAGTACGCTGGCACCCGGCGAGGAAGGCGGTGAGGAGAAACCGCAGGGTGGACGAGCTCGCAGTCACTCGCAGAGCGAAGTTGAGAGCCTCGTTGACGGCGATGAAGATGTGGCTGCAGCCACCGCTGATCCGAGGCCCCCCTCGCCACTGCAGCGTTCTCCAAAAGAGCAGGACCTGGCCACCAGCCACGTCGAGCTTCCTTCCGATGTCCCGTCCTTTACAGTGACACCCAGCACTCCCCTTCCGACTGCAGACAGTGAAGACGGTTCTTCCGGTGGTGAAGTGTGTAGTGACGTGCAGTGCAACAGTGGTGTTGCTACGACGATTACGGTCACTGCCTCTACGAGTGTGGCCACAGCACCAGTGCCCTCTACGTCAGTTACAGCTGCAACTGCGAAAAGAACTGTTTTAGCTACAAGTGTGTCTAATGCTGTGACAGCCACATGCGTGACTCCACCACCTTCACAGACATCTGCTACGCCGTCTGCAGCTGCGATTGTGAAACGGCCTCAATCGACAGCAGCAGCACAACCCAAAGGCAGTTCTACTTCATCATCACCGCAACCGGCTTCTTCAACTGGTGCTAGCAAATCCCAGCCTTCACAACCGCACTCAGCAGAGACTGGAACGAAACAGGTGCAGGTGGTGGAGATGAAAAGGGCGCCCTCGAAACAGCCGGCGAGCACTGATCAGAGGGCATCTGGTGCAGTGCCACAGAACAAGTCAAAAAGTGCACCAGAACAACCTGCGCACACGACGAAGCAGGCCAAGTCATAGCGGCGCTTGCAGAAAGGGTGATGCGGTTTGCTGCTCGTAACGTTCTCCAAGTGGCCCTGCGCTCTTGAGAGTAGTAGCACGAGGCATGTCCGCAGTATTTATTATTGTATTGAGGTGTCACGCTATCCCAGATCTCTCTCCTACTCCTAGCTCCTTAGTGGCCTGAACAGGCTTGCAGTGTTGCCCCTCGCCTTCCTCCTCATGTTCCTTCTCTCTCTTTTCTTTTATCTCCCCAAGGAGACAAAAACTTTTTGTGGGGCCCGCATCATAGATGCAACCAGTCAGTCAAGTCAGTGACCAGGCCATTCACATGTGTAAAGTGTGCAACCGTTGATATGCCTAGCCCTTCTTCCTCCTAGCTTTTAGACTGTTTCACTTTTTTGTTTGTTCGTTTTTCTTTTTCTTCTTTTGTTCATATGATGAAGAGTGAGAGATGTTTCTTGCAACCTGTTGAGTCTGCGGTTTTTGCGTTGCGCGCGTTCTACACTTGTTGACGGTTGTTACGTTTTGCCATAGGTGCACCCGGCGCGATTATCCAGTGCGCGACCCGCCGGTGCCGCTGTATTTACGATATTACTCTTGTCCAGCTGGGCTTTATTACCTTTTTCTCTAGTTGTGAAGTAGCTGTTGGCATCCTTTTGCTGCTATCCTGGTACGACTCCATTGCATGGAAAATGCAGTCAGTTCTCAAGGGAAATGGGGCCAGGTTTTAAACTAAGTTGCCATGCAGCTATTCAACTGTAAGACCAGTAGAATTGCAGCACCGGTTCTTGTAGCACTGGTTCTGGCAACACTGGAATTATATCATTGGTGCGAGATTAGCAGCCACAAACACTATTGTTTCAAAATTGTTCTCTATTCGAGTTATCAAGAAACTCGCTGCTGATGCTTGAAAAACAATGAGCATGCACTCGTTTCAATGTTTAATTGCCGAGGAAAGCAGCTGAACATAAGAACGTGATTTCCCGCAGCAGTACAATATCGACACGCGGAAATTTGACAAACCCCACCTCCATGCAGCGGAGTGCGACAGGAAAGCCGTTCTTCTTGGGTGTGTTCTCTTTGCTGTGCATTGTACGTGCCGAGTGCGTGAGTATATATATTCTCCTCGCTTCGTTTTTCTGTGGATTACCACCTGGCCAACTTCGTGTGAACCCCTTTATTTCCGGCAGCGTGCAATCACACCGTGATCATTCTCCTGTCCTCTCTTATGTGTCGCCTAAAAGCGAGATCACATTGTTGTCCAGAGGCTGTCCCATGCTCTCTCCCTAATGTATTGCAGTTTACATTGTTGCAACAGCCACCACTTTGTTTTTATTACCCCCAACATTGCAGGTTCCTTTGATATCTTCATTTCTTTTGTCATCCATGCCCCAATATCAGACCAATAATTGGAAAGTGCTAAGGCCAAGTTCATTGGGTGTTATAACAATGGTATCTAATAAACACCAGAAGTGCAAATCAACTCTATTAAGACTTAGGCACTTTCATGCATTGGTTTGCTATGGGTTTTTGGGCAGAGGCAAGCGTGTGATTATGTACAGCATTTTTGATATCACTGGAACTCTTGTCATGTACTCGTGCAAGTACTTCTCATTGCTAGAAATCCATGTGCCAGCCCAAGCCATAGCCAATCGTTCAATGTTATCCGCAACCGCTGATGCAAATTCTCATACTAAATAGCCCGTCGTAATCCGTAGTTGTCTATTGCGAGAAAAACTTTCGCATGCAAATGTCATTGTAAAGCTAGGATCTTTCAAGCAAGAACACATAGTAAACTTTCACTGAACAAACAGTGAAGGCTTATATTTGGCATTCTACACATCACAAACGAAGGGCACTAATGAGTTTGTGTGCTACTAACCTCATGTACTCAAAAGGCACAAGAATCCACACCAAATGGTTGGCATTCTAGCTGTACAAATAGCCTGCTTGCGAGAATTCGCTTGTCCATCTTACGAGCTGTTTCAGTGATTAATAATCAAATGTCTTAGCATACTATTATCATCCGCTTCCAACTAGCATCGTCAATTTCATTACTTCGGCGCACAACATTCGCTTATATCCTCCGTTTCGTTTCAGCGCTAAGTCAGTAGAATCGCGATCATGGGTACTTCTCGAGGGACTGGTGCTTTATAATACACCGCACCGACATATCAATCGTCAGCATTGTTTTTGGCGACACTGCTCCTTTCCGGCCACCACGTTTTTTTTTTTTTTTTTTTCAGCAGCGTTGCTGTAAGTTTATGATAAGCTCGCAAGCATGCCGCACCAAGGCGGGGCAGTCTCGTGATGACTGTAGCGTGCCAGCATCACGCGGTTGCTGCAGAGTGTGGCACAGAAACTGCCGTGGGTGTTTGTTTCCGTGATTTTGTTTGTTCTCGGCCTGCCACCTTAGCCTCTGGAGGTGACAGCAGGCATTGCCGGGGGGACTGCGCCGGCATTGTTCGTGCCATATGATGCGTGACGAGAGCCGATCCTGTCTCGATGTCATGTGGTCTTTTGTAACATATTTCTTTTTTTCTTGTCACCCCACGCACCTGTTTGAGTTTCAACTGCATGGGTGGTTGACATTTCTAGCCCTTTCTGTTCGCTCTGCCTCTAACGCTTCCTTGTTTCTGTGCTGTCTCTGCATTCAAGGCATGGATGTAAGCAGGCTAAACTAGAGTTATGTGTCACCATACCGTTTCCCCTTTAATTCTCGTCCTTCCTCAAATCAATCGTCTTTGGCGATGTACCTTTCTTTCTGATATATGAATAAAAAGAAATCTTGTCGTCTCTTTCCCTTTTACACAAACTGTTTCCTATGTCGACCTCTGTTTTCTATTTTATCGGCACTGCTATTATCAGGCAGCCTGATTTATGTGTAAATAGCCTGGTTACCAGAGTTTGCAGCTAGGCACGCATTAGCCTCAACTCCATAAACTGGGGCCAATAGCCTAATCGATGTATGCTGCGCGGTATAAAACAGGGACAAGAAGCAGACAAGGACAAGCGCTCATGATCAATCATGAGGTGTTCAAGGTTGCTGTAATGTGGGCGGCCTATCGGAAAACTATTGTCATCATAAACAGGTATGTCCCACAGAAATGGGGTACTTCCCAGTACTTACCACAGTTGAGGAATGCACCATAGGCATGAAGGGGGGGGGGGGAGAAGGGGTTTGCTGTAAGGTGGGCAAAATCTCACTGCAGCCTCCCCCCCCCCGTTGGCTCATCCAACAGGAAACAAGCTTCCCGATGGTTACAAGCATGAAAATTAAGGAGCAACAACGATGTCTCACAATTACATGCCTTTGGTCCCCAACTTTCTCTGTGCACAAGCATGCGCAGAGTTCCCGATCAGAGTAAGGTTCTTCAGTGCCCTTACCCCTACTTGGCCATTGTGCAGAGCAAATTTTGGACACCCCCCTCTTAGGTGACTAGGGAAGCACATCCTTCTCCCTTTCGTGTGTATGCCTATGTCTGCAGGTACAGTTGGAATGATGGTATAGGTCCTGGTTACTGAAGGTATGGACTATGGAGCAGACTTGGCAACCCCACCTCCCTCGGATGATTGGGGGGGGGGGGCTTCTTCTCCCCTCAGCACGCACATGCCTATAAGTATTGTGACCAAGAAATGAACAGCTAGTATCTTAGCAATGTGCGCAGTTTATCTAAGCTGGACCTCGCAAGCAGCCTCTTTTTTTTTTTCACTTTTGTCATCTATTCCTCTTTACTAAGTGTTAACAGTCAAACTATTAAATGTGCAAATTGTCGGGAAAACAGGAATGGCCACGCATTACTGAATGAAAGAGTACATGCTTAATTGCAGTGTTACCAACCCGTAAGCTTTTAATGCTTTTATGAAGAACTTTAGGCAAAGACCCGTGTGCTTAGATTTAGGTGCATGTTAAAGAACCCCAGGTGGTTGAAATTGCCGGAGCCCTCTACTACGGTGTCTCTCATAATCATATGGTGGTTTTGGGAAGTTAAACCGTACCAATTATTATTATAAAAAGCTTTAGGCCAGTGTGTTATTTCTGAAACATATAAGGCATATGTGTGGTGTCTAGACCTTATCGTAGATTTCGGTTCCTTTTCCCTTCAATATGCAGGAAGCCGGGAAAGTTGCTTTGGTGGATGATGCATTTTCTTCATTCCCATACGTTAAGATTTCAAAAATGCCCACGAAATGTGAAAAAAGTCACTTGAAAAAGCAAATGCACACGCTATTGTTTTGCTCTCAAACGTGCAATCAGTGAGCAAGGCCCCTTTTCCACCCGTGATTACCTCCACATCGTTGCCCTCGGTCTTGGTTGTCTCATCAACAGTGCTTAGCCAGTAGCATGCATTTTCGACACCATGCGATGCAAGCCAGAATCCTAGATGCCGGCTATCGTCAAAACTTTCCTATTGCCACAGTCGTACTGCATATGATTTTGTCTATTGTACAAGCGTACAATAGGCAGAATGATAGCACTATGCAAGTGCTCCATCATGTCACTTCTTTTATAGTTCATGGGCTTTCTCTGCAATGCGGAAAAAAGTACTACTACGCAAAATGTATCATATTGGAAACAAATCAATGGGTGCTTTATCAAAAGTGCTCCACAATTCTACAATCATACTCTGAGCCTTTGTTCAACAATTAAGCAGTTATGTATTTAGACATACTGAATTAAGGGGCAAATAAATATAGCCCGAGTACCTATACTGTGAACGCGCATGTTACGTTCAATTTAGTTCTGACACATTTTTCATTCTCGGTCTTGCCTAGAGTTACGTGGAATTACCCGTAGAATCAATGTGACTTTGCGGGTGCAGATTGCAACGCATCGGGAAGCTCGGAGGAAAACACAGCTTAGCATTTTATTCAATACACTGCATCGTTGTGTACTCTTAAACACAGGCTCAAACTCAATATAGTTCAAAATAACGTAGCTTTATTCATAGTTTTAACCTACACCATTTCGTCGCTCAGCAAAGGAAGCACTTAAACTGATGGCGATGGCTATTGGCCTCTGCCACCACAAACTTCACATATCGTGTTTTACACATATAAAAAATAAGCCAGCACGAAACAGCAATCTAAGTATACTTAAATGAAGCGGTAGACATTTTGAATTTGCTAACTGAGTACTTTGATACGTGGCACCTTCATTTAACTATGCAACTTTGTATTATGCAACAAAACAGGCTGGCATAGCCTGCACTCTTGCTTTCCGGCAGCACGCATTCATATTGTCTTGTGCCCGGTGGAGAGTAAAAACCCACATCATGCACCCGTTCGCACATCTTTGCCCAATCAGTGGCACCATATTTATGTGGACACTAGTGATTCATCTTCCATCGAACCAGCATGTTCTTTTCCGATGTCGTAAAGTCTGCAACACTCTAACGTTGCATGTATCTCAAGATTTACTTAGCTCATATAAAAAAAGAACAATGTCCATTTAGTGCTCTCTCGTACCACATCCATAAGAACTCCCCAGTAAAACAGGAACAAAGCTATACTAGTATACTATCGTTGCAGAAGAATCTATGCTGCCCTAAATGCAGCTTAGAACTAATGCATAACACAGTTTCTATAAGGCACTCGTGTGTTTCTGAGCGAATCCAAGCAGGCCGCTGTCGGGAGCTGATTCCATGATGAGCTTCTGGACTTCCTTGAACTTTGGGTGCGACGAGCCTCCGAGCAAGCTCAGGATGACGCTCTCGCTCGTCGTCAGCCAAGCCCCACTCGCTTTCATCCGCTCGAACCCAAAGAATCTGGTGAGGAGCAAAAAAAAGACTCGACCTGTGGGCCAACCTCTCCTGGTATAATCTAAAGACTTGAGCACCAGAACAAATATTGAATGGTGAATGAGACACAAAAGGATGCAATATGCGCTTTCTGTACTAGTATTGGTCCTCTGCTTGAAGATTGCAACTGCGCTTTACCAACAAGGCTGGGCAAGATCCTTGGGAGGTTTGTGCTTCCTTGTTATTTATTTAGTTTATCGGATACTGAAGGTTTAAGTCAGTGGAGGCTGGGTAGGCAAAAAGTGACTTGTGAAAGGCAGTTTTTAATAAAATGTGTAACTACACCAAACTGGGTAGCCCGTTCCATAAAGATCGGTGTGATTCGATTCTCATGAAAGAAAGTAACATGTTAACGGTGGCACTTTCAGCAAAAATGGTGAGAACTTAATGCATTCTATACTCTTTACTTATTACTGGATGTGGTGCGATTGCAAAATGTGGACCTCGGAGGCATTTTTATTTCGGAGCATAGTGTGTTAAGTCACACATAGTGGCTAGTACATTCATCCGTATCAAAAAAATGTTTGTAGTTTCCGACAATATCCACTAGAGATAACAGTGGTACTGCAATTATTCAGCCAGCATGGGAATGAAGGGTAGTTACATGGGTTTGCCTAGTCTCCATGCTTGCACCTCTGAACGTACTTGTGTTTGCCGTACTTTGAGTTCTGTTTAGGATTAAAGAATGACTTGTTGTGAGCCTTGCACGGTGATTTGAATTGGCCAGCCTGAAAGGGGTCAAGGTCGGGAAGTAGGACTTCCGAACGTCATCTTTGACAAAGCAGCTACAGGCCTCCCAGCACCGAAAGACCAAAGCTTAAGCAAATTGATGTACTACCCATGATTTCCACACTAGATGAAGCACCTTGTGTTGCTGCCCCCAAAGACAGTAGTGCCAGAACTCCCTCTAGTGGACTGTTACGAACCTCCACGCAAATAGCAATAAGTCTCATTTAAAGCCAAGATATACATCGTTCATCGTAAACATATGTTCATTTTGTGCTGCTTTCCATGAGTATTTTAGTATACACATTTTTTGTGTCGCAGTTTATATTTGTTAGGTTTGGCTTGGCGCCCACGCCTTACTTTCTGACCGTGGGAGTGACCGATTGCCTTCCACTCAGAGCTGCGCACTCACCGGTCAACCATAGTGCGCGAGGAGCAGGCATCAACAGCAATATGTACGTTGAAGCCTCGCTCGAGCAGTGCCAGGGCCGTGTTCTGGACGCAGACGTGCGTCTCGATGCCACACAGCACGACCGAGTCGAGTCCTTTCTCTTGCATCGTCTTGGTCACTTCGTCAGTCATCATGGAGAACTGTGTCTTCTCAATCGGCTTGATGTCTGGGAACTCGGCAAGGCCCAGCTCAGGAACTGTGTTACCCAGACCTGCAGGATGTTTGAAGATTTAGTGGAATCGTTGCAAACAGCTAACAAAGGAATAAACTTCAGGAGTGCACTGGGGCACAGATGCAGTGAGATGGCATTTTACTGGAGGTGACCGGCAACTTTGCCCAGATTAAGGGAATCAAGGCTTGAAGTTGAACCGTTGCTACCAGCCAATTAAGGAGCTAACAGACTTGAGTACTGCATAGTATAAGAGCGACAGGAAAGCTATAAGTAGAATTCGTTAACACACTGGGTAATAAATACAGCTTTATTGGTGGCTGGTGTACAAATTGAATGAGATGGCAACTTATTTAAGGTGTCTGGGAACTTTGCTAGGTGTGTCACCGATACAGAGCTACCGAGTCCTCATCGTAATTAGTCAAGCAAAGAAGTTTAGAGCTGAGGACTAGTACGTCATAAGCAGTCATGGGTAGAAGTACAGTAGGATGTATCGGGGATAAAGCGCAGAGGTAATTTCAATGACATTACCACTGAAGTAGACCAGGTTATGTATAACCTAACGTGAGCAGCAGCGAACCAGTGATACGGTCGTGCATCTATCGCATAGTGTAAAAAGGCGTTGGCGCGCTGGAAATTCGACGTAGTTAGGCAATTTACAGGAGGTCTAGAAAACGCGCCAATGTAAATTCGGTGAGCGCACAAGAGCCAGAAGCAGAGCACAGAGCTTGGGTTACAGCTTTAAATCGTGAACATTATTGATGGTGGTGTAGTTATGGTCAGGAAAACTAAACAAGTTTCTTATCCGAAGGGCAATCTCAGATTGCCATTGAATGTTTCGTTCGGCGCCGACCAGCGTTCGGCGAGCTTCTTGAAAGGCTCTTGACCTCAAACGTTATCGTTCGCCGTCAGTGAACAAACTGCGCGAAGGCACGTTGGTAATGCGAGAGCGGTGCATTAGCTGTAATGTCTTATGTAACTCGCAGCGTTACACAAGACGCGCATCACGACACGACTCGCACACAATATAGGGTGAACAGACGGCTCTGTTGTCGGCATGTGCGCATCTCGTGTCCGCGTACCTTTCGGATACTGTTCGGTGACGATGACAGTCATGTCGAGCGCGCGCCCGGCTTTCAGCAGCCGCTGAGAGACCGCCACGATCTGCGGGAAGTACTGTATGGTCTTCCTGAACTTCTCCTGCATGTCGCAAAGGAATATCGCCGTCTTTTGGCTAGAAAGGCGGCCCACATTTCTCACAGCTGCTTGCGTCGCCATAGCGGTAATGTTTGCGTGCCGACGATTTATCGATGAGGAAGAACTGTCTGCAACTTATGTTGGCGCGCATCAGCCGATTCAGCCGCGAAGTATCTGACGCAATGCCGAGCGCGTCGTACGCGTGCTTGACCGTTCCCTCCAGTTTCGAATAACGCGGTAAATTTGAAGCGAAGGTTGACTCCAGCCAGAGTGGTGTAGGGGCGGTGTCTTAGTGCGTCTTTTACTAGTTATGGGTTGCAATGATGTTGTATTTGATAAATGAGCATAATGATTCGTTGCTGTTACAGTATTTAAGCAACTGATTTGTAATTAAAAGGACTAAAAACTTTAAAGCAGTCTTTGAGAAAAGGTATGAAAAAGGTAAAGAGGAGAATTTTTCTTTTTGTGGTTGTAGACAACGTTTGTTGTAGGTTAAGGCGGATGAAGTGTGATACGTCAGCGGTACACTGCAGGGGTGTACCGTGTATCGGGAAATTTGTGTGTGCATGGGAAAGGTAAGTGGAGCCGGGGTCATGCCAGCCTTTTTGTGTTCGTGTGTTTGCGCTTGCAAGTACGTGCGTATGAGAAAAACTGAATATTTTCTCGCCTATGCCGATTCTGTAAAGGAGTAGCTGAACTGCATTTTTTTAGGAAAGCTGATTTAATGTCACATTGATAGTACTCGGACCTGTGCTTAGTGAATTCATATACATCACTTTTTAGTGCGGTTATCTGTTATCGCTACTTACCTACGGATCTCCCGGGCCGATCCTAGAACCGTGAGTTTTGTTCTTTTCTTGATTTTTCCCCCTTCGCATGCATGTTCTACTTATGCACTAGGGCTGCTTGCGCATCTTTATATCTTACGTCACTTATACATCGCCTATATACCGGATGCTTCAATAAATGTGTCCGAAACTCTCAAAAATCAGGGAAATGCATTATTTGTCCAATGTCTTCCCAATTACTTCTGCAGGCTCAGCCATATCTTGATATGGCTAAAGACATCATTTAAGTAGAAAAGTAATTAAAATATAATTGAATTAAACTTTTTATTAGAGGAGCTAGGCGGTTATGTCAAATGGGAGATTCGAAGTTTTTCGTTGTAAGAACCCATTGCAGCCTTGAGATTTTGAACAAGTGGCATCGAAACGTTATTGGGGCGTAAGGAAATCCAATTACAAAAGCGAAACCGAAGCACCAGTGAGCGCAACAAGAAGGTGACCAGAATGACGTCAGTGCAGTGACAATGATTGTAGATGTGTGTATTTCGTCCGCGTTCGTTAACGTATGTGCGCTAGAGTGCTGAATTGCAAACGCACCCGCACACCCACACAACGAAGTCATGATGGACTAGAGCACTCGTTCTAGACTTCTCAGAAAGATAGCGCAGTTGCGTCCTATCGCGTTTAGGTTTAAGTTTGGCCGCTGAGAGAGGGTGGATGTCATTACCTCAGGGTGAAAATCGGTGTGAATTTCATTTCGGATGGTCTGTCAACTGGGGCAGTGGCGTAGTCTGGGGGGGGGGGGGGGGGGCACACCGGGCCCTACGTCCTCTATACGCTGCGAGCAAACACTCGCACCCTCACAACCTCTAATTTGACTTAGAAGTGTGGCAGCTTGGGCTAGTTGGTATGGCATGACGATAGTTATAGCGCGAGAACAAAACGACGACCCAGAGACAAGAAGTACACGAAAGACATGAAGGACATCGAAAGTTCGTGTCTTTCGTGTCCTTCTTGTCTCTGTGTCGTCGTTTTGTTCTCGCGCTATAACTATCGTCATGCTCTAATTTGACTCCGGCAATCGACCTACGCCTCTTACATCTCTGGAACGCTCGCCGCGGCCTTATAAAGCGGTGGGAGCGTATAACAAACTCAATCGAAAACTTCGCGCTTGCATCGACGCGCTCACTGGAGAGGTGTTGGCATACTGTGCGCAGCTTGCCTATTCAAATTGGACTGACACCTGCTCGAAGGCAACGAACCAGACGAGCTCTAAGAGCACGTGGTGGCTCTTTCGTAGCCTTCCGGATGCCTCCACCACCCGGGCGGAAACGCAACGCCAGCTCCGCCGCGCTATGAAATCCTATCGGGGCATATTGTTCTGTTCTTTTTCACATTGTAGCGTCTATTTGTCTGATTATAGTTTGCTGATTGTTAGTCTTTGTGTAAAAAGTTGTTTTTTTTTATCTACGTCTAAGTTGTGTACCAGACAGTATTTCAGAGCAAAATCCTCCGTCGTGCTTAACAGCCTTCTGCTTTTGCTTCGTTTTTCCCTGTGTACAGGAAAAAGAAATAAACCTCAAACCTCAAATCTCTAAACTCGCGCGAGAATAGCGTGACCGATACATCTATCGTACAACTGACCCCATAGGCCCAGAATATACGTATCCCGGAGACCATAATGCCGAGCTCGACGCCCCATACATGCTTTCGAATTGACGGGCTGCACTGCGAAAATGCGACGGGTTGCGGTGGACTCCTGACCAACCTTCCCGACTAGGCACGCCTCTCGCTACTTCACTTGATGAATTCGATACGGGATGGTTCCCCGAACCTATCGGAATGTACGACATCACTCATTACATTCATACCTAAATCGGACAAACCGGTCAGGATCTATGCGTTTAGACCCATTACCTACTGCACCGGAAAGCTCATAGGGAAGCCATGCTACGCGAACGCCTTTCCGTCTACCTGGAGGCCCGCGGGGACCTTTGCCGATACGATGTTTGGCTTTCGCCCGCATCTGTTGGCGCAGTACTGGATATTGTACCCCAGCTTCAACCCGATTATGGAACCGAACATTGCGAACACTGTGCCCTGTAACGATAAAGCCGTGCTTGCTCGCTCGCTGGATTTCGTGCCGACCGGTTGTGCCACGGCGATCTCCGACGATAGCGCAGCTCTGGCCGACTGGCTCGCCCTACGCCACCTCCTGACGCCGACAAGAGCTCTCGCCGAGTGGTGCCCCGTTCTCGGACTCTTGCGATCGTGTCCACCTTTTCTATCTTCTCCTTACTTCCATATGTGGCTGTCCCTGCCCCTCTCTCTCTATCTCTATACCTTTAATTCCTCCCTATCATTTTGATCTTTCCTTACCCCCATACCTCGTGAGCTACTGTTGAGGTGTCCTCCCTCTGAGAGACAGTTACGGGGCTCACTTTTATCTTCTTTTCATTTAAGAATCACTCCCCCCCTCTCTACCTTAGAGGGGCGTTTGATAACGTCAGACACAGGTGTATTTTTTTAATCTCTCTACCACAAACTCTAGACACAAGAAATTTTAATTACATTCGAGCATTTCATTCTCATCGAGCCACCTTCATCCACCTCAATTTTATCGAACATGCCCCCCCCCCCCCTATTAGGCACACGGGGTACACCCCATGGGACAACCCCATCAGCCCTGCTTTTTAACCTGGTCACGAAGAACCTCTCCTCCCTCCCTTTCGCTCGTGACTATAATACAATACGCACTAACACCGGCCTCCCAGCGCAAATCGATGAATTAACACCTACAAAAGGCTGCCCTTCTGGTCACTGGAAGATCCAGAGGGGGGGGGGGGCGTTAGGGGCGATCGCCCCACCCTAGAACTTGTTAGCATCCCCCCCTTCTCTTCAGCGCTTACGGTCCACCTGCTATCCTTAATTGGTACTAATGAGCGGGACCACTTTGAGCACACAATAATAATATTTATGCTCTGAGCGTTTTTGTGGTAGTAAAAAAATAATGACCACGCCCCCCTTTTCAGTGTTACTGCAAGCGACCCCCCCCTCCCCTTGAATTGAGTGGCTGGATGCGCCCCTGCTTCTGGTGAACAACAGTATACGCTGCTTCGGGTGGCCTTAAGTGCTCTCCAGCTAAATCACCTATTCTCTCCACCCTAGATACGTATTCCGTGTGGCCCCGTCCCACCAGTCGAAAGAATTCGGATTCTCAAGCTTCATCTCACATCATCTTGGATCCCAAGGGCACAATAGTAGGCATCCGACGCACCAGCGAACAGGCGAGCCGTATACGCTACGGCGAATCCAAGCGCGGTGGTCTCCGCGGGATCCTGTCCCTGCGGTTGGCCTGTGCGTTTGTGACAAGTCACGTCCTGTACGGCTCACCTTACCTTCGCCTGCGTCTTCACCACGAGCACCAGCTGGACGCCCTTCTTCTTTCAGTGAACAAACGTACACTCGACCTTCTCATTGCCACTTCCAACAGGCCATTCGCGGCACTGGAAGGCATATTCCTTTGCAGAGCGGCGGGTGCTCTTCGCGTTAGCCAAATTATACATCTGTCGCAGATGCCCTCAGGGCGTCGTCTGCGACACAGGCGTGGCCTAAATGCGATCTCTAACCAAGACACTACGGCACCCATGCCGGAACTCTGGCGTCGAAAACTATGGGTGGAATTACTTCCAGCAACATGAACCCTGAGCTGCATCCCGGTCATAGACTAACATGCCCCGTGGTCCTTCAGGTGTGACACTCCGATCGCCCTGGAGTTTTTTAGGTGGACGTTTCGGGCCCCTTCCCCTCGGGTCACTTCACGACCGCCGTAATCACAGAGGGAAAACACGTCGACGACCAACACTGTGTCTCCTGTAGATCCAACACTGTGTGGCTAGCTAAGGAGGTTGTCATTGCTTTGGCTGCCTCGCATCCCACCTCACCATCCAGACGGACTCGCGCTCGGTCTATTCCCAATATTTTCTGGGTGCTATCGCCCCACTAGCAGCTCACTTGCTTTGGACAACCTCTTGGTGCTTTAGCCCTCACCCCATTTGTATAATATGGACCCCAGGCCACACGGGCCAATCCGGCAAGGAGGCGGCTAATGCCGCTGCCCGCGCTTCTCTCATTTGGGCCGTTGCCCCTCCAAGTTCCGAGTCTGAATCTTGCAATACGAACCTGACGCGCTTCCGCGAAATTCTTCCGGGCTTCGCACCGCTTCTACCCGGACCTCGCTCGTGGAGAAAGCGGACGAGCGTATACTACGTCGCCTCGAGACGAACGCCTACTTCAGTCCGGTGGTCGCCAGACATCTTTTGCCGGAAACCAGTAGCACATGCTCGACCCGTCAGGCCCTGGCCGA